TATTATTATTATTCCCCACTCGCTCTCTAATCACTCACGCTCTCGCTTCACTCTCTCTCTCTCTCGCTGTTCCCTTTAATTTCGTCAAATTAGACCCATCAAAATCAAAATCATCAACGCGCCTTATCACATCGTCAAGACTTCTCCAGGCGCTTCACAGGAGTTAACTGTGAAGTGTAATGACTGTGCATTTTTAATAATAATAATCCGTGCATTTGATACAGCGCCTTACCACGTCTTCGAGACGTCTCAAAGCGCTTCACAGGATATTCTGTCAAGTGAATTGTTGGCAAATGCAGCAGTGCAATTTGTGCAGAGTGATGTCCCACAAAAGGTTATTTCTAATGATGGTCTGATTGCTTCCAATTTTCCCCTGTGTGGTGTGTGTGTGTGTGGTTTTACTGGGTTTGTACATATTGAGGCCAAAGTTTTTTTCTCTCTCTGACTAACTGTAAAAGGAAAGGAATTAAAGAGGTTACACTGAGTATGTTTCATAAACTGACGAGTTTATTGTGACGTGAATAGACATAAGTCGGGATTGTTTGATGTGTGGGAGAAACACGGCTGAATAATTCACACTGGAAAAGGGAGGAGGGAGGAAAATGAAATCTGTTTCATCTGACATCTGATGTCAAGGGGAAAGCACGCTCTGCAGTGAAAGCAACGGATTTAAACTCATCTCAACCAATCGGAAACCCGAATGTTTATTTGATTTTATTTATATTTAGTGCTGAAGTCAGCCTTCTCTTTATGAATCAAATGGAGTGCCAGAAAGCTTACTTACCAGAAAGCCGAGAGAGAGTGTGAGAAAGTAAAGGGAATGTTTTGTAAACGTTTGGTTTTACAGAAACCACAAATGTGTGTCTTCACTTTTCATTTGTTCTTTCTCTTCTCTTTTTCTCTAAATTTTGATTTCGTGGAGTCCTGTAGCTCAGTGGTTAGAGCACTCGCTTTGCAAGTGAGAGACCTGAGTTCAATCCCAGGCAGAGGGCGAAACCTTGGGCAAGTTTCCTTACTCCACACAGAGCCTAATAATAATCCCTCCAAAACCAAAAACAATAATAAATTGGTCATTTTCAATCTACGACTGTTTGTGGGACATTGCTGTGCGCAATTGGCCGCCGCGTTCGCCCACAAATATACAGTCAATTCACTTTACAGTGTGTTCTGTGAAGCGCTTTGGGACGTCCTCCCGACGTGAAAAGCGCTATATCAAATGCAAGGATTATTATTATTTAATTACATGGTCGGATTGCAGTCCAGGCTTGTGCAGTATATCGTGTTTCTGGATTTATAATCCAATTTAGATCTGTAAACTGTAGAGCCTTTCACGTGGGGAAGACGTCCCAAACTGCCAAGACTTGTATCTGGAGATTAAGCTGTAAAGACAAGTCTGTCCTATCAATATTTTTGGTCCAACATTTTTCTCGTTTTTCTGCCCTGTGCTTGGGCTGCTGTTGTCAAACCGACTTGTTTAACGTCGGGAACTTTTGAGGATTTCCTGCCTCGTGGGCGACGGTTGGGATTTGAAGAAATCACTTCCTGGAAAGTTGATGTTCAAACTGATAGGATTCCAGTTCTAATGTTAAAGAAATTCCAAATTGGTCAAAGCATTCACACAACTTGGGAATCAAAGCCACTTCACTCCTGGGTTTATAATGAGTCGTGTGTTTTTGACCTACCGAATAAATAGAAACATAGGAACAGGAGGAGGCCATTCAGCCCCTCGAGGCTATTCCGCCATTCTGTTAGATCATGGCTGATCTGTATCTCACCTCCAATTACCCACCTTTGCCCCATATCCTTGATCCCCTGACCTAACAAACATCTCTCCACCTCAGTCTTGAAAATGCGGATGGATCCAGCATTCATCCAGTCACTACACTCGACTGTAAATCCTGAGAAGCGCTTCGAGACTTTGACAGCATGTTAAGGCGCTCTATCAAACGCAAGGATTATTGTAGTTATTGTTGTTATTACGTTAATACAGTTTAAATCAATGTAAAGTGTAGCGACTGTGTATTTTATGGGGCGAAACACAGCAGCCAATGTTTTTCAAGATTGTAAAACAATCTTCTATAAGTTTTCCCTCGTCCATCACGTTGACAGCCTGGGAGCTGAGTGGGAGAGAGAAAGAGAGGAGCATGAGCAAGCCAACGTGTGAGATTCACACTCATCGCAGTGATAACATTGCCCGTGCAACACAAACCCAGCACTCTTCCTGAAACTGCCTCCTCCACCTTTTTCTATGGCAGATATTACTGGTGTTTTCTGCACACACCAGATGTCAGGAAATTCCAAAACCATTGATATTCCGCTGACTTTGTAAAGTCAAAGTAAAAAACTGTCGACAGAAATGTTCGACCCACACGCACACACACGCACACGCATACACGCGTGCAACATCCTGACTCGGAGGCCACAGCCGTGCTGATTGAGCCATTCGATCCAGAACACAGTCACTACACTTGACAGAAACACCGCAAAGCACTTTTTTGAGATGTTTTGACATGATAAGGTGTGAAATCAAAAGCAAGGATGATGGTTTTTAGTTGCAAACTGAAGGTAAATAGGTTTCAGCGAGACCAAACACCTATTGGACCCGAGCTGGGGGTTGGGATCAGGAGGGGTGGAGGGCAGGGATGGTGGAGGGTAGGGAGGTCGGTGGGCAGTGAGGGTGGTGGGTAGGGAGGGTGGAGGCCAGGGAGGGACAAGGGACTGTGGGATGAATAATCAAGAATTAAGAGTAAACTGATGTGTGTGTTTAGGTAGTGAGACCCGTGGGTCTCAGTAGTTCCTCACCCCCGCCCCACACACACACAAACCCACACACACCCTCACACACACACCCACCCACATCCTCTCAGTGTCAGCATCAGATCGCAAGGTAACCACTAACCACCCTGGGTGAGTGCTGTTGATGATGTACATTACAATGTAGGTCAGCGACTCTTAGCAAACCCACAAGCTTCTGTGTAGAACCTAAGCTGTAGTTTACACGGATGAAAGGTCAAAGGAAGGAGCTTGAATGTACGACTGTTTCACCCACAAAATATACAGTCGATTCACTGAACAGTGTATCATGTAAAGCGTTTTGAGACGATTGAAGACGTGATAAGGAGCTGTGTCAAATGCAAGGATTATTATTATTATTTTCCCTCGTGGGACTGAAAAGATGGCTGTATAAAACTATGCAACCTTTCCTCCCATCACAGAGTCCAGCTGCTTTGTTTCCTGGCCTCTGTCACTCTCAGCCTACGGGGAAAGCAGCGACCAATACTGCCATCTTTTTTATGTTGGCGGCCAAGTGTCTGTCTCACGCGGAAACCCATCACTGTGCTTAAGAGTATCCTATAGCACAGAAGGCAGCCATTCGGCCCATTGTGCCTCTGCCGTATTTTTAAAAGCTGCCAATTAATCCCAATTCCCTACCGCTTTTACCCCAACTAATCCCACTCCCCCGCTCTTACCCCAAAGCTCTGCACATTTTCCCTTTCCCTATCCAATTCCCTTTTGAAAGCTACTATCGAATCAGCTTCCACCGCCCTTTCAGGCAGCGCGTTCCAGACCGTAACGGCTCTCTGTTACGGACCGAAAAATATTCTCCTCGTCCGGTCTCCCCTCTGGTTCTTTTGCCAGTTATCTTAAGTCCTTTGGTTACAGGACCGCCCGCCCGCCAGAAGGAATAGGTCCTCCCTGTCTGCTCTTATCGGTAGATCGAGACAGTTCAGTCAAGTCGTTAGCAGTTCATGTTATATTTGTTACAGTTGCTGTTTGTTTCGCATCATGTGGAAGAAAAGACCTGGGTTTCCAGTTCTACCCCCCCACCCCCCCAGCTCCACTTCCCCCCCAGTTGAAGGGAAGTAACACTTCTCTGGGTTGAGATAACATCTCTAACAGTGTACCCAACCGCAGGAGCTAAACTCACAGCTCACCCCCTAAATTCCCCTCCATGGTCGGCTCAACATCTCCCCAGAGAGTCACACAAACACCGAGTGGGGGATTGATGGAGGAAACCCACCTCCTGCTATTGCACGTTGCTGTGTCTCGCGCTCCAATACCTGAGCCCACGTGAAGCCGCGAGAGAATATACAGCAAGTTCTCGTTGTAGAGGAAAGACACCTAGAAAGAAGTTTTGAGTTAATGCTTCAGGAGGTTTCAGCAAAGTTATATTCTCAACTCCTTTTCAGTTACCCTCCCAAGTTTCTCTCTTAATAATAATCATCATAATAATCCTTGCATTTGATACGATGCCTCATCACATTGTTGAGTCGTCTCAAAGCGCTTCACGGCATACACTGTCAAGTGTAGTGACTGTGCATTTTGTGGGCGAAACGCGGTAGCCAATTGCGCACAGCAGCGTCCCCACAAACAGCCGTGGATTGAGCGACCAAATTATTATTATTGTTTTTTTGCTCAAAACAAAATTCCCTGAACCAGCGACCGAGTGCTTACACAGCCTCTCACCCCCGAGTAGCCGCGCACACCCTCTGGTCATTCAGGGGTTAAATGATTCATTAGGAAACCAGCCGGAGTGACACACAGCTGTGCAGCATTCCCGTCTGGGAGCTGGAGTGAGTGCTTTACCCCAAATGGGTGTGTACGTGTGCGTGTATGTGCGTGTTCTTGCAGTCGGTTAAGGGTTAATCAACCCTTTGTCATAAGGAAGGATAGGTCTGTCTGTCTGTCTGTCTGTCTTGTCTGTCTGGGGCGTTCAGTGTCTGTCGAGAGAGAGCGCGAGCCGGCTGAGGAGTGAAGGGAGTTATTTAGCTGCTAGTCAGTTAGATGTTGGTTGTCAGTAAGTTAACTGTTAGTCAGTTAGTTGGTGACGCAGTTTCCAAACCGACTTGTTCTGTAACTGGGGTTAGGGGCAGGAGGTGAGACAGAGACACACCCCACCTCCCACACATGCTCAGTGCAGGCTCCGGCAATGACATACAACACGGCTGGGAGTTAAAAGCCGAGTTGCTCAATTTCCTCTGGTTTCTGTGTGTCTACAGGCTCGAAGCAGGAAGAGAGACTGTCCTCTGGAGCGAGCGAGCGAGCGAGCGAGAGGAGACGAGGCAGAATGCACACTCTGCTTTGAAGGCGAACACATCTGTTGACATTTAAGCATTGCTGTGTGCGAGCGTCTGTGTGTGTGTGTGAGATCGAGGGAAGAGAGAGAGAGAGAGAGAGAGACGGACTGAAAACAGAGAGCGTCTTGGCTTATCCTGGCAGCTTTGTGCCTTCAGTTTGCTCACAAGTTCAGGTTACCTCACGCCTCTGGTGTAGACTGTTTGACATATCTTTATCGTCGAGAAACCGTGAGCGAGCGGCACAGACAGGAGCTGCTTTTTGGGGGGGAAGGAAAGAAGGAACAAGAGAACGAAGGGAGAAACCGGAGAGAGGAGGAGGAGGAAGATATCAGCACTTCTCGATCTCGACTGGGAATAAAAACATTTTAAAATAAACCTGGGAACGCCGGGCAAGATGCGTTCTGACTCTCCCCACTCCGGGGTCAGCCCTGGGGTCAGTCCTGCCCCGAACCCCAAGTGCCCTGTGGCCAAGAGCAGCCGTGTATCCTTCCACAACCTGTTCCGCGGGAAGAAACGCTCCAGGTCGTCCAAGTCCCGGCGGAGGCAGGAGGTGTCGGTGGCCAACGTGGAGATCGAGAGCCTCCAGGCCGAGGTGGCAGACCATCCCGGGAGGAACTCCCAACGTTCCAATGGCAACACAGCACCGACCGGCTCGTTCCCCGCGCTCTCTCCCACCCCGGCCAGGAAGGTAACCAATCTCATGTCAACTGTCTGTCTGTCTGTCATCAATCCCCTTCCTCCCTCACCCCCCCCCCCCCCCCATCCACTCCACCCCTGTCCCCTGGTATCACTGAGGGTAACCAGCACCTCTTGCCCCTTACTTTCTCTCTCTCTCTCTCTCTCTCTCTCTCTCTTCCTCCGCCTTCCTATTTCTATCCTTCCTTCCCCATCTTCAGGTGGTCCCCGAAGACCTTCCTTTTCGACTGCGCCTGCAGTCACCTCCTCTCCCCCCCACCCCCGGCTCGGTATCATGCTCCGTCACTGTCAAGCGCTCTGGGACCCTGCCTTGCCCTGCCCTGCCTTGCCCTGCCCTGCCCTGCCTTGCCCTGCCTTGCCCTGCCCTGCCCTGCCCTGCCCTGCGTGAGGGGGCGCTGTGTAAATGCAAGTTGTTGTTGTTTGTTCAGTTCAGTTTGTGGTGATGTTTTTTTTAGGGCGTAACGTTATATCGTTTGCTTTGTGGCTGCGGCCAGACTTCCCCTCCTCTCTTTACTCCCCCACCCTTCCCGCCCCACCCCCAACCCATTCTCCCCCAAACCCTTCCACCAACGGCAGGAAAGTCTTTTTGTTTGTCGGCCAAACAACAACTAATTACGTGTCTTAACACCTTTCACGTTGGGAGGACGTCCCCAGGTGCTGGGAAGTGTTCAGGACAGTGTTGAGGCCAAGAATTATTTTGTTTTTGCCCATCCGGGTGTCTGACACACACGGAAACCCGTCACCGTGACCAGCCGGGTGTCTGACACACACGGAACCCCGTCACCGTGACCAGCCGGGTGTCTGACACACACGGAAACCCATCGCAGTGCTTAAAGAGTCTCCAAACCCAAGCTGAGAATTCCAGATGGGTTGAGCTTTGCTGGGAATTCCTGCTCAGTACGGTTGCCCCTGACACTCAGTGACTACACTCACGCATCATGAGTGGTCACCAGGTCTAGAAGGCCAGACAGCACTTGTATTCCTGCTGCCATCGGGATGAATCAGCAACTTCTCAGCACAGGAGAAAGCTCGCTTTCTTCTGTGCTGTAAATTTCTACCTACAATCATTTTCGGGCGCCGTGAATTTGTCCCACAATCGTTGCACTTTACAGTATTCTCCCGCCAGGTGCAGTGAGACGTCTCAAAGACGTGATAAGGCACTGAATCAAATTGTGTTTGGAGGATAATTGCTGTATATTATATTTTAAGCGTTTCCTGGCTATCAGTTCAGGGAATTATCGGCTGCTATTGTTCAGACCCGGGTACGATCCCGGCTCTATGCTGATCTCAGCCAACATCAACGACTTGCATTTATATAGTGCCCCACAATGCAGGAGAGCGTCCCAGAGCGCTCAACAACAATAATAATAAGGTGATAGGGCTGTTAGAATTGGACTTGGAGGGAAGGGCATCATGGGGGGGTGGGTGGGGTGTGGAGGGCGAGGTTTATTCTGCTGGGTATTTAATGTGTTGCTGCTGGTTAAGGAGTGATTGGGGTTCAGCTGCGGTCGCTCTCTCTCAGTGCCTGTCACACACATACACACACACACACGATGACCTGGCTCCCATAGGAATAATTCCACCTTTTGTGGCCAGCTGATCACTATCCAACACATTGACAGCCTTCAGAGGAAGAGAGAGAGAATAATAAATGTATTTTGAGTTTGCTCAAAGGCAAAACTTGCTCCCGATTAAGGCAGCCTCATTCGAATCACAATCTCATTGAACATCTGCTATTCAGACACCTCCCTTCCCTCCTCCCTTCTCCCTCTTTCTCTTTCGCGCAAACGATGACTCAGTGGTCCAGTTGGCAAGAGGCAAGGAAACTGGGTCTGAGTCACTTTGTCGTTTATGGGAAGGAAACATTATGATGCAAATCATTTTCAGACAGACTGAGAAGGTGGCTGGTGACCACAGATCACTTAGTGCGTGGTCGTTTATAGGAAAAGGAACCCATTGTGTCTGCTCGAGGCCTGCCCTGTGGAGCCCTGTAGCTCAGTGGTTAGAGCTCTCACCTTGCAGGCGAATAGACCTGGGTTCAATTCCTGGGCAGGTCAGGGTGAAACGTTGGGCAAGTTTCCTTATTCCGCGCACACACACGCACCTCTGTTTCCCAGCAGTAAGTAGGAACCCGGTTGTTAGTCGATTGGAGGATCACTTTCCGGGGGTAAAAATCCATTCAATAAAATAATAAGAATAATGATTTGATCACTCAATCCATGACTGTTTGTGGGACACTGCTGCCGCATTTCACCCACAAAATACACGGTCGATTCACTTGTAGAGTATATCCTGTGAAGCACTTGGACACGTCTCGAAGACTTGAGAAGGCGCTACATCAAGTGCCAGGATTATTATTGTAATATTATTGTTTTATTTACTGGGGGGGGAACGTGTAGCTGGGAAAGCATCTGTGCGGAGAGCTGGAAGCAGATGTGAAGACAAACTGCCTTTTAGTCTGGTGGTAATTCCAGTCTGGATGTGACTGGGAAGCTAGCCGTGTTTCCCAGCACTGACATCTCTCACTGAGCAAGCGATCGAGCACAAAATTCCCCAAAACACAGATTATGTCATGAAACCGCTTGGGTGTTGATTCCACAGACGAGAAAAGTGTGAGTAATGCCGGGAGAGACGAAAGACAGATGGACATTGTTGTCTGAGATCGCGATCACAAGTTCCATTTTGTCTCAACTTCTAAGGCTTTTTTGTCTTGCACTTTACCAATTGTGTAATTTTTGTTTCAATTCAATCATAATTTAGAAGCTACTCCAAATTATGATCAGGATTTGGGTCTGGTTCACAATTGCCCAAGATTCACCACGTTACATTTTTGAAAAAAAATGGTCTCGCAGCCTAGGGGAAGGTGGAATTTCAGGCCTGAGAGATTTAATTAGGCAGAAAACCCCTCCCTGATCCCAACTCTCCACCCCCCCCACCCCCGCACCCAGTTCGGGTCCAAATCCCTGGCTGCCCAATGCCTTGGCTGCCACGTTTCGCCCACAAAATTCCCAGTCACTACACTTTACAGTATATTCTGTCAAGCGCTTTAAGACGTCTTGCAGTCATGATAAAGCGCTGTATCAAATGCCAGGAATATTGTTATTAATGTAAAGTTTAATTCTTCATAAAGTGTTTTTAAAGTGTTCTCAGCTCCATCCCAAACTGCACAACAACAACAACAATTACATTTACAAGGCGCCTTTCACATCGGGAGGATGTCCCCAAGGAGCTGGAGAGTCAGGGATTAGGACCTGAGCTGGAGGTTGGGATCAGGAGGAGTGAGAGGGCATGGAGAGTGGGGTTAGGAGAGCGGGGGCAGGAGGATGGGGTTTGGAGGGTGGGGGCAAGGAGGGTGGGGGGCAGGGAGGGTGTGGGTAGGAGGGTGGGGGTGGGAGGGTGGGGATGGGAGGTGCTGAGGGAGTGCTGCGATGTCGGAGGTCCCGTCCTTTGGTTGAGCCGTGAACCTAACAGACACTTGTCTCTGGCTCTAGGTGTCGGCCGGTTTCCTGGAGTGCCCCCTGTGCCTGGTGCCCCACCCCCAGGAGAACGTCCCCGAAATCATGACTTGCCAACATCGCTCCTGCCTCGACTGTTTGCGTCAGTATTTACGCATAGAGATCACAGAGAGCCGTGTCAACATCAGCTGCCCCGAGTGCACAGAGCGTCTGAACCCCCACGACATCCGGCTGATCCTCAACGACCAGACTCTGATGGACAAGTACGAGGAGTTCATGTTACGTCGTTACCTCGCCTCCGACCCCGACTGTCGCTGGTGTCCAGCCCCAGACTGCGGGTAAGTGTATCTGTGTATGTGTGTGTGTCTGTGTCTGTATGTCCAATCGATAGCGCTCTCATCTCTTGAGTCAAAAGATTGTAGGGTTCAAGCCCCCACGTTGCACTCTGAACTCACACGTCAAGGTTAACAACAACAACAAGTGACATTTACACGGCGCCTTTCATGTCAGGAGGACGTCCCAAGGCGCTGGACAGTCAAGGATTTGGACCCGAGCTGGGGGTTGGGATCAGGAGGGGGTGGAGAGTGGGGGTAGAATGTGCTGTCCTTTGGATGAGACGTTAAACCTGTTCAGATGGAAGCCAAACATCCCCGGCACTACTTGAAAAGAGAAGGGAGTTTCGCTCTCTCTTTCCCGGTGTCCTGGCCAACAATCCCTCGTGAAAATGAGTCATTCACTTTCTGGCTGTTTGTGGAACATTGCTGAGTCTAAATTGGCTGCTGCCCATTGGCCTACAAACCACACAGACACTGAACTCCACAGTAACTCCTGTTGAACGCTGTGAGAAGGGCTTCAGATGTGAAAGTGCTGCACCAAACGCGAGGATCCATTTTGGGGTAACGAAAAACCACAGAAACCCCAAAATAGGGCGTTGGATTATTCTCCCTAATGTCTTCCAAGTGACTCAATATCACTCATCCGAGCCACAGGCCAGTTGGTGGGTTAACAACAGCTCAGCTTTTTTGCTCTCTCTCTCTCTCTCTCTCTCTCTCTCTCGTCTCCTGCCCACACCCGCCTGAGCCAGAGAGACGTTTCACTGCCAAAACAGCTTCCCATATGGATGGCTCACAGTGAGCCGAAGAAACACAAGTGAAACCCAGGACCTGAGGCTGAGCCAGGCTGGGGATTCAGTCAGTGACTGAACAAAAGCTGCTGAACAAATCTCTGCTTCTGAACCCCTGATCTTCTCCCAGTTTGTGTATTTCTCAATGACCAGTTACCAGGATTGTGGCCAGCACTGTTCACAGGCCCAGCGCATGTATAACAATAATAATAATAATCCTGGCATTTGATACATCACGTCATTGAGGTGTCTCAAAGCGCTACGCAGAATATACTGTGAAGTGTAGTGACTGTATTTTGTGGGCAAAATGAGGCAGTCAATTCCGCACAGCAGTGTCCCACAAACAGTTGTGGATTGAGTGACCAAATTATTATTATTATTATTTTTTGAAGGGATTATTATCCCTGGGAAAGCGATCCGCTAATCGGCTAATAAATGGATTCCTAGTCACTGCGAGGAAAACAGAGGCAAGTGTGTGTGGAGGAAGGAAATTTGCCTACGGTTTCGCCCTACGCGGGAATCGAACCCAGGTCCTCTCACTTGCGATCTTGCAGAACCTGAAAACTGTACTTTTTTTGCTGAAATCTCCAGCACTCTCAGCACTCCCTATTCCAATTATTTAAATCGATAAAGCTTTATCCCTTCAATTAATTTCTCCCAGCTTGTTTGCTCTTTTTAAAGTTAATTGCCAGTTTACTGGAGCGATTGATTTAGGGCGGGTTTGCCATTACAAGCAGACCCAACAAAGTTCAGTGGCTGATTGATCTCTTGTTCAATCTTGCACAAGACTCGTTTCACTGGAAGATAATAAGGAAGTCACTTTGTTTTAAGGAAAATTAGCCTATCAGGTTTCAAAGCCTTGTGAATAAGCCAAGCCATTAGGAATTTTTAGTATCACTTTATTGAGTGCTGAAATAGTCCTGGAATATCCCCAAAAGTTCGATGAAACTACCCACAAAATGTTTCGCCCACAAAATACAGTTTACAGTATATTCTGTGAAGCGCTTTGAGACGTCTCAGAGACGTGATAAGACGCTATATCAAATGCCAGGATTATGATTATTATCATAATCATTATTATTATCATAATCCTGGGATGAATGGGGTTAAATTAAGGGGAGAAAATTAGTTATGTTTTGACTCCCAAGTGATTCCAGTTGAAAAGATGTAACTTTGATGCTATTGACTTTGGGTGCTGCCTTTTTCTGCTTTTTATTTTACTTCACGTGTTTGCCGTAATTTAATCCTACTCGAAGCCTAAACCCACCACGACAAATCAGTGAAGAAATGGAACAAAGTACTTTGAAGTCTCCACAGGGGGAGAATTGTTTTTTTTATATAAAAAGCATTAAAAAAAATTAAACTTGCATCAACCGTGACGTGGAATAAATTGCCAAGACAGGAAGCCGGAGGCAAAGTAATCGAAAACTTTGGCAAATGTTCCTTCCTTTGATTTTTTTTATGATGAGCCTCAAATTCTTGGAAACAGCTTTGAAGAGCAGCAGATTTAATTGTCGCACTGTTCCACAAACAGCCATCTTGCCCACAAAATATACACTTCACTGTCTCCTTCCTTCCCCATCTTCAGGTCCTGTCTGAGGACCTTCCTCTTCGACCTGTGCTTACGGTCACCTCCCTCTCTCCCCAGCTCGGAGTTGTGCTCCGCCATGGTCAAGCGATCTGGGACGCTACCCTGTGTGAGGGGGCGCTGTGTAAATGCGAGTTGTTGTTGTTGTTGACTGTTCCTCCAAAATCCACTAAAAAAAAGCATTAAAATAGCTTGAATGTAGGGAGACAGACAGCAAATACATTGCAGAGTTTGTTCCGATTGATACAAATGAAAAGCCCAGAATCCTGCAGCAAAATGTCACCGTGTCCTTTCGTTATTGCGAATTGCATTTGTTGGTAATAAATCTGAACAGAACGTGATCCAGTGTGTCCTTGGGTGTTTTAAGCGTTCTCTGAACCAAGCGATTAAAAGAAAAAAAAATGCCTTTTGATCTATCTGCCAGAACAATGTTGTGACAATGGTGCGTGACAGAAGAGAGGCCAAGATGGAGTAGGTGCCATTAGGCTTTTGTTAATGTCCTTCAGAGAATTACTTTCAGAAACTACAAACTGTCTTAGACCATTCCCTCCTATTCTTAATAATCTTTACATTTGATACAGCGCCTTATTACGTCTTCGAGACGTCTCAAAGCTCGTCATAGAATATACTGTAAAGTGAATTGACTGTATATTTTCTGGGTGAAATGCAACAGCCAATTGTGCACAACGTCCCCACAAACAGCCGTGGATTGAGTGACCAAATGATTATTATTCATGTATATATTTATTTATTTTGGAGGGAGGGATTGTTACCCCCGGAAAGCGATCCGCCAATTGACCAACAACCGGGTTCCTACTTACTGCTAGGCAGACAGAGGTGTGTGGAGTAAGGAAACTACCCAACGTTTAGCCCCGACTAGGTATCAAACTCAGGTCCTCTCGCTTGCGAGGCGAGTGCCCTAACCACCTCCCTCCAGCACTGTTGGCAGGCAGGCCTGCCTTAATATTGCGTGTGTGTTTGCAAAGTGTTGAAATTCGTGGAAGCAAAACCGCTCTCATTAGTACTGTTAACGTGGAATTTCAATGCGATTTTATTCCCTCAGACATTTTACTACCTGCGTCATCGAGTCCTTTACAGCTAGGTTTAGCCCGTCTGCTGTCTGCTGTCTGCTCCACGAAGCCAGATGGTGAACAGAGTAACACTTACAGAGCAGTCTCTCCGTGTCACATGCAAACCGTTTGATGCATTACAGGCTTGTGTCTCTCGGCCTCATCTGTGCACACACACTCGCACACACACACTCGCACCAAAAGTAGACTTGCGAAACGCAGATTGAAACATTGTCCGGGGTAAGCAGGATTTCGATCGAGCCAGGGTTTAACTGTGAGCTTCTAGTAACGAAATGCACTCAATTGCTGACTTTGAGTGGCCAGAGGACATGGCTGCTTTTAGCCATCAGAAAATCCAACTGAATGGGTTATTCGCCACTGTTTTCCTGGCACTTCTCGGTGGGAACACAAAAGGAAATATGGCTATACCTTGGCTGAATTATCTTGGTCTGGATCACGTCCCCCCCTAAACCTGAGTTACAGGAATTTAATAGCGGTCCCGGAACAGAACTATATGTTTAACCATTAAAATGGTATTTACCGTGGGGCGGCCTGGCAGTGCACTGTGGAGTCCTGTAGCTCGCAAGCGAGAGGATCCGGATTCGATTCCCAGGCAGCTCAGGGCGAAACGTTAGGCAAGTTTCCTTACTCCACACACACGCACAAACACACACCTCTGTTTACCAGCGGTGAGTTGGAACCCAACTGTTAGTCAATTGGCGGAATGTTTTCCAGTGGGTAATAATCCCTTAAAAACAAAGTTGAGTCACTCAATCCATGACTGTTTGTGGGGACGCTGCTGTGCACAATTGGCTGCTAAGTTTCGCCCACAAAATGCACAGTCAATCCACTTTACAGTCTATCCTGTGAAGCGCTTTGAGACGTCCCCTCAACAACGTAAATGAGGCGCTGTATCAAATGCCAGGATTATTATTATATATAAAACTGTAAAGCTGGAGTTTGTGTATCTGACCACTCCAAAGATGTTTACGGGTGAGCTGTGATGCTCTGATGTCTCTCACTCACTCGGTGCTGTGCTGTGTTTGGCAGGTACGCGGTGATCGCCTATGGCTGTGCCAGCTGCCCCAAGCTGATGTGTGGCCGGGACGGATGTGACACCGAGTTCTGTTATCACTGCAAACAATTGTGGCACCCGAACCAGACCTGCGACACCGCCAGGCAACAGCGAGCCCAGGAGCTGCGAGTGAGAACCACACAGAGCTCAGGCCTGAGCTTCGGGCCAGAGTCTGGCACCAGTGAGTGACTCTACACCGCTATCTTCCTCGATACCCAGTGTAGGGTTGTCCAACTGCCGCATCCGGGCCCCACCTCCCTCCTGCCCTCCCTCCATTTCAACTGCCACCCATCCCGACTCAGTGTAAAGCGCCGTGCCTTCAGCCACTACACCCCGAAGCTGTGGAACTCTTTTTTTTAGCAAGTTCTTATGTTCTTCCACAGCTGATGACATCAAGCCATGCCCGCGATGTGGAGCGTACATTATTAAAATGAACGACGGGAGCTGCAATCATATGACGTGCGCCGTGTGTGGCTGTGAATTCTGCTGGCTGTGCATGAAGGAGATCTCCGACCTCCACTATCTCAGGTGAGGAGCAAAAAAATGCTCGATTTCAAGATCCTCACCAGTCGTTTCCGAGTACTGTCATGCCCTGCCTGGCACCTCCCCACCTCCGCAACCAACTACCCGCTGCCTCCGCTCGACTGGCCCCAGCCCTCTGTGCCACCACGCTTTTAGCCACCGCGCCCCGAGACTCTGGAACAGTCTTCCTCTGTTCCTCCGCCTTGCCCCCTCCTAACCATCTTCAGGTCGCGCTTGAAGACCTTCCTCTTGGACCATGCCTACGCTCACCCTCCACCGCCTCCCCGGGGTCGTGCTCCGCCACCGTCAAGCGCTCTGGGGCGCTGTCCTGTGCGAGGGACGCTGTGTGAGTGCCAAGTTGTGGGCACATTGAGGAGGTTGGCAATCGCTCACCGCGGGTCAGGCTGGTCAACGGTGCCTTGAAAAGTAGTCCATCGGTAGCGCCACCCGGTGGCAATGGAGGAGAACTGACCCACACCCAAAGAGGATTGACCGACCGTATGTTGTGGGCGAAAAGTGGCAGCCAATTGCACACAGCAGTGAGTTCTCTTTTAAGTGGAGAAAGGTGGAGAGGAATAATGTATAGTGATACCTGTAGCGTGCGTGTGTGTGTAAGCGTGTGTACGTGTGCGCGTGTAAGCGTGTGTGTGTGTGTGCGCGCGCAAAGGGGCAAGGCTTGTGATGCCGCCCTGAACCTTTGCCGTTGACTTTCACACTGTCTGACGTTCTCCCGCTGTCTCTCTCTCTCTCAGCCCCTCCGGCTGCACGTTCTGGGGGAAGAAGCCGTGGAGCAGGAAGAAGAAGATCCTGTGGCAGCTGGGGACTCTGATCGGGGCTCCCGTTGGCATTTCCCTCATTGCTGGCATTGCCGTGCCCGCCATGATCATTGGCATTCCGGTGTACGTCGGCAGGAAGGTAAGGAAACAAAGATCAGAGAATCTTGTATCAGTTCAGGAATTATCTTGTTCTACCCTGACCTTTTAATATAACATTCATTGCATGTAGCTCCTTCATTAATAGACTCACCAACCACTGTCGTTCACTGTAAATCACTTTGTAATTGTTGTTCTTTTAAGTTCTTTAATTTCTGTGCGCAGTTGGCTGACCCCGTTTCACCCAGAAAATATACAGTCAATTGATCTTTACAGTATATCCTGTGAAGCGCTTTGCGATGTCTCGGAGACATGATAAGGTGTATCAAATGCAACGATTATTATTATTATTATTTATGGTCACTTCCCCCTTCTCCTTTGCTTGACCCCCAACCCCTTCACTCCGAGACGCAAGAATAATGCTGCTCAAGAATGTTGTTTCAGAGAGAAATAATAAAAAATATTTTTTCTGGGGGAAATTTAAAAAATAAAACCTCTTGAAATCTGGTTTCAATAAAGATCGGAATTGCTGAAACGGTTCCATCAATCGTGGCTTTTTTGTTCCTCAGATTCACAGTCGCTACGAGGGAAAGAAGATGTCAAAGCACAAAAGGAACCTGGCAATTACTGGAGGAGTCACTCTGTCCGTCATCGCGTCCCCTGTGATAGCTGCCGTCAGTGTCGGTGAGGCTCGAGTCACAACTGAGACAATCAGAACTTTACAGCCAACATAGGAACAAGAGGAGGCCATTCAGCCCCTCAAGCCTGTTGCGCCATTCTATAAGATCGTGGCTGATCTGTACCTCAATTCCAATTACCCGCCTTTGCCCCGTATCCCTTGATCCCCTGACTTAATAAAAATCTATCCAACTCCGTCTTGAAAATGTGAATGGCTCCAGCCAGAAGCCGCAGCCTCTCGGGGGAGGGAGAGAGTTCCAGATTTCCAATGTGAAGACCTTGTAACCTGTGTTGTATGTGTTTCCCTCAGGAGTTGGTGTCCCCATCATGTTGGCCTATGTCTATGGTGTGGTGCCGGTGTCACTGTGTCGTGGTGGGGGCTGTGGTGTCAGTACAGCCAATGGGAAAGGAGTGAAGATCGAATTTGATGAAGATGACGGGCCCATCACAGGTACCTCACAGCGACACATTCATCACCTTGAGACGTCTCGAAGACGTGATAAAGCTCTGTATCCAATGCAAGGATTATTATAATTATTATTATTATTGTTTCACATCTCGCAAATCTGCCAAGACAATTAAACAAAAAGTATCAGAGCGTCGCGCTCCTTAACCGAGGGGCTTTGATTTGTTCTTCCTTCTCAACGTTACTCTTCTCCCTTGTGACTCCCGGATGTTTCTTCTCCACCGTTTGTCCAGTTGCTGATGCGTGGAGAGCCCTGAAGAGCCCCAGCATCGGGGAGAGCAGCGTGGAAGGACTGACCAGCGTTCTGAGTACCAGCGGCAGCCCCATCGATGGGGTGAGCGTAACGCAAGGCAACTACAGTGAGACAACCAGCTTTGCAGCGTTATCAGGAGGCACGCTGACTGGAGGGGCGCTCACCGGGAGCAATGGACATCACAGCAGGTAACCAGTCACTGCGCAAGTGGGTGGGTCAGAACTTTACTCTTGTGTCGTGCCATGTCTGAGATCTGGTCGACAGGCCTCGCAGAGAAATGACCTTTGCTTTAAAGTATAACAGAAACTTTGCTTCTTTGGTGTGAGCTGTTGACAAAGCTACAAGGCAGGGAATTAACACGTTCTGCCAAAGCTTTGATACAGGCAAGAAAGAGAGAGACAGAAAGAGAGAGACAGAAAGAGAGAGACAGAAAGAGAGAGACAGAGACTGAAAGAGAAAAGAAGAAAGACTTTGAATAACTGTTTGAAAGCTTGGCGTATCGTAATGCAAATAGGTTGGAGGCCATTTTGAACCTTTCGAATATATTGTTTTGGCAGAATGCAGATTCAGGCTGATATCCAAAAGGAAAGCTTCAATTTGAATAAAGATTCCATCAGCCTGGGAGCGACCAGTGACAACGCCAGCACCAGAGCTATGGCAGGTTCTATCATCAGCTCATACAATCCCCAGGACAGGTGAGCAAATACATGGGTCACTGTACAGCCTGAATTTAATGGACCAGCCTGGAGATACCTTTTTAATATTATAGAGTATAATCCTAGTTTTTGTTATAGCGCTTCATGCCATCGAGTCATCTCAAAACGCTTCACAGAATATAATGTGAAATGATTTTGACTGTATATTTTGTGGGTGAAACACGGCAGCCAATTGCATTGTCGGAGGTGCCGTCCTTCTGGTGAGAATTTAACGCGAGGTCCCTCCTGTCTGCCAGTTCAGGTGAACATTAAAGATCCTGCGGCGCTATTTGAAAGGAGAAGGGAGTTTCTCTCTCGCCCCCCCGGTGTCCTGGCCAACAATCCCCTCAAATAAAATTGGTCGCTCACTCCATGACTGTTTGTGCAAATTGGCTGCCACGTTTCGCCCACAGAATACACAGCCAATCCACTCTACAGTATATTCTGTGAAGCGCTTTGAGACGTCTCGACCAGGCGATATCAAATGCAAGGGTTATTATTATTATTATTATTAATACAGACTCGTCGCTCTCGCACAGATGATTGTCACGGCACAAAACTGAACCATTCGGTGTTCGTGTGTTTCCCTGGCAGGGAGTGTAATAATCTGGAGGTGCAGGTGGACATCGAGACCAAACCCACCCACTTGTGCCTGGCCAGCGGCAGCAGCTTGGACGAGTCCCTTCATCTCCGCTCCCAGTCCGCGGAGGGTCTGTGCTGCGGAGGGGAGAAGGACAGCGAGCGCAGGTCAGCGAGCCTGACCAGCCAAACGTGCGACGTGACGTTGGCCCAACCAGAGAGCGTCAAGAGTGACGAGGACAGCACAGACACGCAGTCCGATGACCTGCCAGACATGACGTCCGATGAATGTGATTCACCCAGTCCTGCGAACGGCAGCCACTTGGAGATCTCTGCGTTGGACGCCAAGTCCCTCAACAATGAGAACGTGCCTAGCGACCATGTGCAACAGAGAGAAGACAGCGCTGAACCGGTTGAGCAGGAAACTGAGAGTGTAGTACACTATGCCTAATCCCTCGTTCCTCCCCACAAACCATAGATGTGCACCTTACACTTTGCTTCATTGGAAACCGTGAGATTATTCCTACACAAGAAGCCTCTTACACTCACATGTACTCAAGACATGCGGACACAACAATATTACATATTTGACAATCACCTCTCAGACCGTTAAATAAAAGGTTACTGAAATGCTTAATTTCTTAATTTTATTGTCAGAACTGGATATTACTGCTGCTGCTGTTAGTGCTGCATGATTTGGGGGGGAAAAAAGTTTCTTTTTTTTAAAGAATTCAACACGCCCATCCCACACATGTGTAAATACACACACACACACACACACACACACACACGGGCGCGAGCACAAACACACACACAAACAGACACACGCACACACAGACGTAAGCACAGAAATCCTTTTGTCCGGCCAAGACAAGAGGCAAGATACTAACATTCCACTAAGTGTATTGGGGTTGGGCTGGGATACCAACTGGTTTAAGTGCACTTCTGTTTCTGACTTCCCGTCGATTTTGCGAAATCAAAATTGTGTGGTTTTTATTTTAAAAGAAATGAGATTAAAAAAAAAACGATGCTAAAACTGGGTGATGGTTATGAGTGTGTGCGTGTGCGTTCTGTTGTGTCAGGTTTTACTTGGAGAGATTGAAGCCCATGTGAAGACTCGGATCTGGATTCGTTTGGGTCAATGCAACCTTCACTGCTTCCAGCTGAGGCTGAACACTGATCTGAACAGCTGAAGGTGTGACACCAATGAAAAGAGAGCCAGTGCAAACCGGACTCCACTGAGTGAAACACATCAGCTGTGCACTTGGATTTCTGGACATTTGACATGGTGACTTCTGTTTATAAGAAGTTAAAGCCATGTCATGACTTGGTTTGATCAAAGTAATAATAATAATAAATATGAACCCTTGCATTTGATATAGCGCCTTATCTCGTCTTCGAGTCGTCTCTTTAACAATTAAAGAGCAGAGAGACTATGTAGAAATAAACAATAAAATTGTACATAATGTAAAAGGTGGTACTGTAGGAAGACAGGGTGGACTTTGAATATACTGTAGAGTGAATTGACCGCGTCTTTTGTGGGCAAAATGTGGTGGCCAATTGCCAATTCCGCACAGCAGCGTCCCACAAACAGCCGTGGATTGAGTGGAGTTTTTTTAAAAGTTATTTTGAAGGAACATGATTCAAACACTAAACTGCAATGAGCAAACAGTAGAGCAAATCCCAAGCTACAGTAAAGCATTGTACCTTTGGGGTGGTTGTGAGAGCTATTTTCAGGACATGTTCTGACTGTCCCAATAGTGACTCATTGGCTTGGAATGTCCTTCTGTACATTGCTGCAGTAAAGCTGTTGACCTTATCACACTGCAGCTTTGCCTCAAAGTCCACTATGTCTTCCTACGGTAGCACCTTTTACATTATGTACAATTTTATTCTTTATTTCTACATCATCTCTCTGCTCTGTAATTGTTAATTTGAGGTCTTATGAATACTTACATTCGATACAGCACCTCCCATGGGGGATGACATCTCAAAGGATATACAGTAAAGTACAATGACTATTTGTGGATGAACCTGGCCTGCCCTTTGGGTGTTTTCGAACAAGTAGTTTACATTCCTCCAAATTTCTGCCAAATTCAAATGAAGTGGTCGCTTATTTCAATGTTATTTACAGAATGTCCCTGGCACAGATTAGCTGCTGTGATTGCTTGTGGAATGATATGCATCCCATTGTGTAATTAAATTGTGTAAAGTACCTTTGAGGTGTTTATTTTCACATACAAGGTGATACAGTATACAGATTATTCTACAATAGGATTGTGTAAGACTCAAAACCTTTCTCTTTCAGGATGAAATTACAATTTGAGAATATACAATTGGCTGTCAGGCATTCAATATCGCACAAAACCTGGTAACTTGTTGGGGGAAAAAAAACCACTCCTGACTTGGAAACCCACCATCTCTATCTTAACGCGACTTGTGCAGGTTGTTGATTCTTTATGAGAAATGTTATAAAAGAGAGGCAATGAAACCATGAAACAAATCAAATTTATAAAATCCTTGAGAACTGAACTCAACGTGCAATTGTGTTGTGATCTGTTAAATAGAATACTGTAAATTTTTTACCCCAAATGTGAGCAGCTCTGATAGTAATAATAATAACATTTAACTTATGCCACCACCTCAGTTGGTTACGGTCATCTCCTCCCTCCCTCCCTCCCCCAGTTCAGCGACAGGCTCCGCCACTGTTTAAGCGCTCCGAGACGCTGCCTCCGCGGGACGGGCACGATATAGATGCAAGTCGGCGGTGAATGAAGGGTTGGGGTTAGAGAAGGACCATGAGATTGATCGACACGTGAACCATGGCCACTTGGGCTGGCTGGCTGAGGAGCCTGGAGGAAAGGAGGGAAATGCGGGGCGGGAGTTGGGGAGAGTGGGGGGGGGATTGCAAGTCAAGCCACCGCGTCATCTTGTGAGCGTCGTTCCCGCGGTTTTCCCTTCCCGCAAGACCCCGCTTATCACATCTCAACCTTTCACAGTGTGCAGAGAGTACACGGAAGTCGCTATTTTGACGGCGGATCAAATAAAGCTTTATTTTTCTTGTGGTGGGGGGGGGAGGTTGTGAAATTAGTCTTACAATGTCCAACATTGGATTGGCTGGGGGGGGGGATGGGGGGGGGGGTGCACATTTAATGCCATAGGACTGACACTCAAGGGAGTAATAATCATCCCAATAATGATATGGGGCTACTTTTGGGCTAGGATTGGGCGGGCTTGTGTGGAGGGGGCGGGGCTACAAGCCACGCCCCCCTCGGCGCGCGCGGGATGTGAATGGGCAGTTGGCAGTGCTGGGGGGGCGGGGTCTAGCATCGGGCGGGCTTTGGGCTATCACTGGGCCACGCCTCCCGCGGGGCTGTGATTGACAGGGCGGCGGCGGGCGGCGGCGGCTCGCGGTCGGTTGTCCACTCCCGACGACAACTGACGGGACTGAGAGGCCCTGAGGCCGCGCGGTCTCACCTCACACACACACACCCACACGCGGCGGCGGCGGCGGCGACGGGCGGACCGGGAGGAGGAGAATAAAAAGCAGAAGAAAAAGGATTTATTGATTTTAATTATTATAGTTATTATCGAACTCTCTCTCTGACTGAGGGCTGGAGCCCCCCCCCCCCCCCCGGGGGCTGACCCGACCCGACCCGACCCCACTCCGCCTCCGCCTCGACCCCGGGTGAGTGTGCTTCGGCTTCGGTCGCTTCTCCTCCTCCTCCTCCGCTGTTGTTCGGGCTGCGCGGCGTGGGTAGGGGTAGGCCTCGCTCGCGGCCTCGGTGTCTCGTACACGACGAGGCCGGGAAAAGGGTGGGGGTGGGGTGGGAGAAGGGAAGGGGAGAGGGAGAGGGAGAGAGGGGGAGAGGAGCGAAGGCCACGAGAGATTTAGCCTTTAAGATCTTCGCCCAAAGGCGTCATTGTCCCCTTTTTGCCCCCATTATCTTTCCCCCTTTTTTTAAGAAAAAAATCTGAATTTGCTCTCTCCTCCTCCCCCCCCACTCCTCCCCACCGCCCCCCCCACACCTCCCCACCGCCCCCCCACCCCTCTCCCCCCCCCCACACCTCCCACCGCCCCCCACCCCTCTCCCCCCCCCCACTTCTCCCCTCCACCCTCTCCCCCCCCCACTTCTCCCCTCCACCCCTCTCCCCCCCCCCCACCTCCCCACCGCCCCCCCACTCCTCCCCACCCCCCCCACCCCTCTTCCCCCCCACACCTTCTCTCCTCTCTTCTCAATAATAATAATAATATAACAATCGTTGCATTTGACGCAGCACTTTTCGCATCAAACCACAAACTTACTTCAAACTGCAACCTCAGGCCTGAATCAATCAATCAATCAATCAATCAATCAATCTATCTATCTATCTATCTATCTATCTATCTATCTATCTATCTATCTATCTATCTATCTATCTATCTATCTATCTATCTATCTATCTATCTATCTATCTATCTATCTATCTATCTAATCATAATAATAATCCCAACATCTGATATTAACCCCTTGTCACGTTATTGGAATCGTGTCAAAGGACGTTCCACATCCTCGTTCAACGAATGTCTCGTCTCATCCGAAGGACGTAGAGAGCGCGAGAGAGAGACGGGGGGGAAAGAAGAGGGAGAGTGGAGCTTCAGCCTTTAAAACCTGCATCGAACGACGTTGTGTTCCTTAACCCCAGCCCCGTTATCTTCCTCTTTTCCTTTTCTCTCTGAATTACCCCCCCCCCCTTCTCTTCTCGTTACCCACAAACTTGCAGGGAATTAATCCTCAAAGTGCAATCTCAGACTTGAAAGCCAACTTTATATCAAACATTATATTTGCAGCTGTTTTATTTTATTGAGAGTTGGGGAGAGTTTGCTCACTTGTAAAAACAAAAAGGTGAGAGAAAGTACGGGGGGAACCCAACCATTAGTCAAACCCTTTGAAATAGAAAGAAAAGAAAAGAAATAAATAGCTTTTTTTAATCTGGGTTGATGCAGAAAGTAGGGAAGTTTGATTAGTTCTCGTTTACAATGCAAGCTGTGTGGAATCCAGTTTACAGGGTTGCAATTTAGTGCCATTCCTTATCAGATCAAAGCGTTGCTTATTTAGCATATAACATATATATAAAATATACATTATATCTTAAAAAAACTAAAAGGAATGAAAGAATATAACTTTTTTCGTGCGGTCAGGTCAGTCATGCTCTCGGCACAATTAAGACCAAGGCTTTGATAGAGAACAAAGGGAATTGCAAGGAACCGTAAGTGGATATCTGGAGAGTGTGGTTGGGAGTGGTGGCGGAATGCGAAATTCTATTCGTCCTATCGCCGGAATTTTACACTGATTCATCACGATTGCATTAGCGTTTGCTGCTCGATTCATTGAAAAATAATAAATCGAGAGAGTAATGCGATCATTTTGTGTGTGTGAATAACAGAACGATAATGGATAGGTGGCAGCAAACCAAGGCAATAAATCCAGTTCAACAGGAATACTGTGCTCAATTACTGACTTGAATTACCATCTTGAAGGTTGTTTGTTGTTCTTTATAATAGTTTGTGATGTATAATTTTAAAACGTTTTTATTTGAACCAAAACCCGTTATGTAATGGGAAGTTCTGTGTGATGTAGACAAATGGTAACAAACCTGTGATTGTGACACAGGCACTGAGGGTTTGATGCTCTGTGTCCTGCCAAGCACCGTCTATGTTCATTTCCTAAGCAACATTATGCTATTGCCAGATTTTTGGTGCATCTGATCTAGACTATATAATTTTGATATACTATTTCCGTTAGCTAGTGGTTTACCTTGTGGTTTATGCCACATTTTTTTTACTACTTTACGTAACTGTACAAGTCTCTGGATGTAAGTAAACACAAGTCAACTTTTGATCTGAGAAAGCACTTCTCTGTCACAAAGTATGACATTCTCTGAGTTGTATTGGGTTGTTTGCATCACTATTTTGTTTAGAATACTGTTTGCCAACATTTCACTCCATGGTGTTCTGTGAATGTAGTTTGCCAAAAACCAGTATCATAATATTTATAATTCCTGGAATATTTATGTTAGTATTTCACATCAAAAATAGCAAGTGTAAGTTTTGGTTTGAAGAGCTTCTGCACAATCTCAGTTGGCTGATGGCTATTTCAGGTATTAGCATTTTTACATCAATGCAGATTGGCTTGAGGCTACAAAGCTTCATGTCAAATTATCTTAACTTCTACACTTGTCCATGTCTTCTCCTACATGAAAGCAACTTGTACAAACTTAACAGTTGGTGTAGAAATGCTCAATAAAACAGCATTTTTTTATTTTTATATTTTTGCAGGATTGCAGCAAGCCCCTTGGGCAGAAGGTAAACAATTAGGCTGAAAACGGTGCCCTTCTCTGGAATGGCAGGAGGTAGGAGAGGGCCAAGCAGGGCATCCTACTGTAGAACGCCACTCAATGAATCTGGGTCACTGGGGGGCTCCAGCTATTCCACCAGCTCGCCCATCACAGGAGTGCGATCTCGAACCAGGTAAACAGCACAACTTTCTAATTGAGTGAAAACTTTGGCTGGATTTCTGTCACCTTTCAAGTTTAACAGTACAGTAAACCTCACATAAGTCGTATCAGTTGGGACCATACATTTAATATGATTTATGCAAAGTATGAGTTATGTCAAACTTGCATAAAATATAAACTCTTGTGTCAACCTTTCAAAGTGCAACACAGTTTATTGCTACCAAGTGTAGTGACTGGGTTTTTGTAAACAAATTTGGCATGCAATTTCTGGGATATTCCTACAAACAGCTGGGTTGAGATGCCACAAGTTAAACAAGAGTAAATGTTTTTTTTTAGTATATCATCATTTAAACATTGCTGACTGTAGCTTTTGTTTTTTGTTCATTAGGAGTGGTTCAGGAACTGGCCTGTCAAGCCCTCCTCTCGCAGCCCAGACGGTGATCCCTCTGAAACACAACAAGATTCCTGAATTGCCACTTGAGAAAAGCATTCTCTTTGAGTTTCATCTGCTCTTCTGCCACCTCATAGCCTTGTTTGTTCATTATATCAACATCTATAAAACCGTATGGTGGTACCCTCCAGCTCACCCACCTTCTCATACGTCCCTGGTGAGTACTGCAGATAAACACTAGGGAAATTGGTAAAATAATTATAAAGTTGTACAGTATAACGTTTGGTGTGTATGTGTGACATTTTCTTATTGTAGAATTGTGAAGATTCCTTGTAGAAATACTAGGCTGACCATCCAATTCTCAGGGCCCACTGCATGAAATTCCATTCCTGTCTGTGTGTGCAGGTTAACAACAACAATGTGCATTTATATAGCACCCTTCACCCAGGATAGTGTCTCAGGGCTGTATAGTGGTGAGGGTTGGACACTGAGCAAGGAGAAAGTGACCATAGGCGTGATTGAAGAGATAGTCCTCAGGTGGGATTTAAAGATAAAGGGAGTGAGCCAGGGGGATTGAGGCAATGAGTTCCAGAGATTAGGGCTTAGTGGCTGAAGGTACGGTCAACGATGGTGGCACAGACAGGTTGGGGAATGCGCAGCAGGTCTGTGTTAGCTTAGCAAAGGGAACGGGCAGAGGAGGAGGGTATGGCCAGATCAGATAGGTAGGGTGGTGCTGGGGCATGAAGGTATTTGTATTTGAGGATCTTGCAGTTGATCGGTTCAGAGACTGAGCCAGTGGGTCCTGGAGAGGATTGGGATGATGCGACACCAAAGATCATATATATTTTGGTGAAATATTCCTTTTCTCTCCATTATAGAATTTCCATTTGATTGATTACAATTTATTGGTCCTGACCACCATTGTGCTGGCCCGTCGTCTTATTACTGCAGTTGTGAAAGAAGTAAGTTAAGTTGTCTCTGCATATAATGGTGGTAGAATTTGAGAGGATGTCCACGTTTTAGGACTCGTGACTGAAGAGTGCTTTGGGAGGGAAAGTTCCAACTAAATTCAGAAGAAAATCCTATGAAATATTGCATATATCTTGCTAGTACATGTTTAGCAGCAAAAGTGATTCATACTCCTGCTAAAATAACTTGTACTAATGAACCTATGAATTAAATAAGAGCTGCAGGCTTTTGCCAAATAAAATTTAAGCCTTCCCAATAATCCACTGTAGCTTGACGCTTTAAGTGATGTGTTGCATGTCTGAAAAGTTTCAAAAGTGAGAAATGTTCTTTTTCGTTAGCCAGACATCCTTCACTGAAACCACATAGTTCGCCATTGAGAGCACTGTTTGAGAAGCTTCCTGCTGATAAGTCTACCCTATCTATTAGCCTGAAGTAGCTAAGACCATCCTATTTGTTAGAGCTTTGGCTTGCAGGAGCAGAGTGAGAAAGCAATGTTAGAAAATTGGGAGTAAATGGGTCAGTGACAATATTCATTGAATTCATGTACTTATTTTCTATTCTTTTGATCCTATTTCTTCTCCTTCTCCCTCCTGCTCCAGGCCTCTCATAATGGTAAAATCTCTGTATCACAGTCAGTTGTATTCGTGGCAACTCGATTTGCGATCCTGACTGGAACAGGATGGAGTCTGTGTCGATCACTTATTTATCTTTTTCGGACGTACTCTTTTCTGAATTTGCTGTTCCTGTGTTATCCGTAAGTAACTGGCTTCCGAATGTTTTAACAGGACGTAAAAAATGGCAGATTAACATGTTAATTTAAAAAAAAACTACCAGATCATATTTAAAGTAGTTTACAGCAAGACATAATATGCTGCATTTTTCATTTTCACAGGTTTGGAATGTACATACCTTTCTTTCGGCTGAACTATGATTCTAAGAGGTCAAACCTTCCACCATCGGTGGCCAACATAGGACCCCATGAGACTGGCCTCGCTATTGGAAGAAGTAAAGATTACTTAAGTGTTTTAAAGGAAACCTGGAAATACCACACCAACCAAATGCACAGTATAAACACTACTATGCCAACACATGCATGTTGTCTATCTCCAGACTTGATACGAAATGAAGTGGAACACCTCAAAATGGACTTCAACTGGCGTGTGAAAGAAGTGCTTGTCAATGCGATGCTGAGTGCATATTATATAGCCTTTGTCCCCGTTTGGTTTATAAAGGTAAGTAAGAAAATACAAAAATTGGTAGAGTATTCTTAAAATTTACTCAACGTTTCTTTAAAAAACACCCCTTTAAGATTGGTCTGTTCGCAGGATTGAACAAAGTGATCACCAGATTCTCATGAGGATTAAGAGAAAATGGACCACTGAGAAGTATAAACTCATATTTCTTTGACAGTACCGTTCGGATATAAATAAATCTTAACCATGACAGAAACACAAAAAAAGTCTCTACACCTCACTGCGATGAAAAGCTTTTGAGATTTTTGACATTATTGGGGTTATAAAAATGCTGGTTTAACAATTTTTTTTTACTTCTGGCCACGGATGCTGACAGCATTTTGTTTTATCTATCCTCATTCCTTTTTCATTGTAAAACTATACCTGGGGGAAATGAACACTCTGCTGTCCTGCAATCCTTTTCGATAACTATTTGTTTATGTGGTGTGATGAGAAGAAGTAATGGCTTGTGCTTTTGACAGAGTACGCAGTATTATGACAAGAGGTGGTCCTGCGAACTTTTTATCCTGGTTTGGATCAGCACATGTGTGATACTAACACGACACCTTCTACCCCCGCGGTATTGTGACCTGCTGCACAAGGCTGCAGCACACCTGGGCTGCTGGCAGAAAGTAGACCCAGCGCTGTGTTCTAATGTCCTTCAGCATCCGTAAGTTTTGGATTATTTTGCAGACATTTGTCTCGGATATGAAATAACTTATTATTAGGGACCCGGGAAATTTTCTTACGGGAACATTATATTGATCACACTTAGAGCAGCTACAAAACAAATTAATATAAAATTTGTTTTGTATTGGTAACTACTGGCATGTTTATGTTCATATGTTAAAGTATAATAATCCTTGCAATTGATGTAGTACCTTTCACATTAGAAGGACAAAGCACTTCATAGATTTACTTTAAAATCTCATGACTGTAGTTTGTTGGTAGACTTTATCTACAGTGCAACTATATTGTGATTCTTTCCCCCTTTAGGTGGTCAGAAGAATATATGTGGCCACAGGGCGTGTTGGTAAAACACAATAAAAATGTGTACAAAGCTATGGGAAATTACAATGTGGCAATCCCTTCAGATGTTTCACACTTCAGATTTTATGTGAGTATAAACCAGTTTAACAGATTTTTTTTATGTTAAGTGCCCTTTTGTAAGATATCCTTCACTTTAACTTTGTTAGTAAACCTTATATACCTTTAGAGAATTGACTCCGAGGAATTGCTGAACCTGACTAAAATAATCTATTTAGTCTATTGTTTTGCATTTACCATCTGATGTGAAATATTTGAGTTGCTTAGTTGTAGATTATAAAATCTGTTGAAAGATTGTCAGGACATTAAATAACAAGATCTCAACAGGATGATTGAGTTAAAGGCTAGTTGGTATATTTAATTCCGCTATCTCACTCTTCTGGGTTTACCCAGTTCGAACGTTATCAGCGCTTCTTATTTAATTAAGTTTTGTTTTTAAAGTCATGAAGGAATTCAAAGCCTATTGAAGTTGATTGTTTGAAAGTTTTTTATTTACCAATTTACTCTTCGTTGGTGACTGCACCCCGCGCCCCCCCCCCCCCCCCCCCGTTTATTGACATGACAGCATGTAGACAGCTTTTTTTAATGTGACTCGCGATCCTGAAACCTATATTATTTCTATATTATGCTATAAATTATTTTCTGTAATACTCTATGCATGATCCCTGATGTGTTTTTTTTGTCTTTGCAGTTTTTCTTCAATAAACCCTTGAGGATTTTGAACATACTTATCATTATAGAAGGCGTTGTAATATTTTACCAGTTGTATTCATTACTATGTTCAGAAAAGTGGCATCATACAATATCTTTGGGGTTGATACTGTTCAGCAATTATTATGCCTTCTTCAAATTACTCCGGGACAGAATAGTCCTGGGAAAAGCATATTCATACTCTACAAGTGGAAATTCAGAAAGTAAACTGAATTAAAAGTCTTTTCTCCCTCCAGTAGCTGTTGAAATGATCAGAGCTTTGTATTTTTGTTACAATTGCCTTTTCATGTAATTGTCATTAAAATATTTTTATATCTCTGGAATGGGAGATTGTTATTTATTTATTAATTAATTGCCACCAACTTTATTTTTGTATATGATCACTTCCGGAAAAAGAGAAAAGACTTTTTATTTATTTTTAATGCTTGCATTTGAAATAGTATCTTTGGCCTCAGGAGGACATCTCAAAAGGCCTTCACAGGATGTACTGTAAAGTGTAGTGACTCTATTTGTAGGTGAATAATATATTACATATTAATCCTTGCATTTGATATATAATATATAATAATGCTCGCATTTGATATAATGCCTTATGTCTTCAACCAAACACAAAGCGTTTCACATATGAACTAATGACCCACTTACAGAGCTAATGGAATAGTTAGTAAACTTCTGCCAAGATTTATGTTTGTAAGACACGACTCCTTTAAAGTTAAAGAACAAACTTCCATACAAGATATTGTAATGTTCCTCCTGTTATGGTGGAAATTGCTGATCATGATCTTATGAAAATTGCAAGGACCGAAAGAAAAGAGAAATTAGATTGACAGAACACACAGAATACGACCTTGACCACAATTTTTGTGGTGACGGAAGCGGACACACTCATTGTGAAACTGAAACGGTGTAAGGTGCAGGAATGTAATAACAACGACAACAAAATCACATTTGTATACTGCGTTTCACATCGGGAGGACATCCCAAGGTGCTGGACACTCAGTGTTTTGAACCTGAGCTGGGGGTTGAGATTCGGGGAGGGTGGAAAGCAGAGGGGGGGGGGGGGGGGGAAGGAGGGTGATCGATGGCACGGTCGAAGAGGAGGGTCTTGAGATGGGTCTTGAAGGGGGCGAGGTGGAGGGAATGCGGGATGGAGTTCCAGAGGGTGGGGGTGAGGTGGAGGGACTGAGGGATTGGCAGAGTGGCTGAAGGCTTGCCCGCCAATGGTGGAGCAGGCTAATAATAATAATAATAACGATAACAATAATGTCTGGGAAGGATATCAAGCCGAAATGTTTTCGCGTGACACATGCCTTGACCACAAGCCGTGATCACAAGCAACACGATGATGTCAAAAGACCAGTGCCTACATCAGGATCTGCAGTTGTATTAAAACAAAGACACATTTCACCGTAATAACCCCTAATCAATGGGTTTTCAAATACAATATTTAAGCAGTGACACACATCCCTCTCTCCCAATCAATGTCTCCCTTTTCCTTACCCCCTCCCCCAACCCCCCCACCACTTTAGTCGGGAGGATCAAAGACGTTTTGACTACTTTCACTCTTGGCTGTGTTATCGGTTATGACGTGTGGCTGAATAAAAAACACACACACACACACAGAGAGAGGGGAGTGGTGGTGGGGGGGGGCAGGAGGGAGGGAGGGAGTGAGAGAGAGAGACACTGTCACTTTAAATGGAGGTACATTTCGAATAAAGCGCAACGAGGTGGTGCAGCGAGCGAGCACGTACGGACGGACTTGCGCGCGCACAGAGCAGGAGCAGCGACTGCGCAGCCGCCAGCAGCCGCCGGGCTTCCGTACCGTCGCCGCCATCTTGGCTGCGGACAGCGAAAGCTTCTGGAAAAAGCCGCAGGAACCGCCTGTCGTTGGAGCGGCGCCTCCGCCTCTCCCCCCCCGGACCCCCGACACCGCAGCTACCGCGACACAACATGGGTAAGAGGGGTGAGGGCTGCGGGGTAACGACGGCGGGAGGGGTTGGAAGGGGCCGTCGTCGTCGTCGAGTGAACGGACTCGGTGAGGCGTCCCTGGGTATTTCCCTCACCTCGTCCTCTCCCGCCATCGCTGGCGCGCGCTCTCTCGCTCCCCCTCCCCCCCCCCCTCCGCTCCCCCTCCCCCTCCGCTCCCCCTCCGCTCCCCCTCCTCCTCCCTCCCCTCCGCTCCCCCTCCTCTCCCCCTCCGCTCCCCAGGCCCACGTTCACTCCCTCTTTTCTCCCCCCCCCTCCCCCTCTCTCTCCCCTTTTCTCTCTCTCTCCCCTTCTCTCTCTCTCTCCCCTTCTCTCTCTCTCTCTCCCTTCTCTCTCTCTCTCTCGCTCTCTGTCTGTGAGTTTCTTGGGTTAAACGCTGGGTTCGCGCCCCGTCCTTCACGCGCTGAGCTCTTTAGCCACCGGGGAACCGAACTGAACCGAGAGAGAGAAGGTGGTGTTTTCTTCACATGACCGAGGTTAGGCCCTGCTCTGGGCCTCCTCTCCCCACCCCCCCCCCCCCCCCCCTTAGGGAATGAGGGTTTTTCCCGCAGACAAACCCAAAACTCCCCCTCAAACTCTTCTAGGCCGCAAATTGTCAAAGAGCCTGAACCACGTCTTCACGAGAGAGAGACAGATTGTTGTTGTTGTTGTTGGTGGTGTGGCCGCTCCCCAGTATGCGAGGCTGGGCCCGAGGGCCAGGAGGGAGGGGAAGAGTTTGGGGATGTTGAAGCTCAGGCTTTATTTAGGAGGACAGGCGGTCTGTCGTTGATGCTCGTGGCCGGGTGATTAACAATAATAATCCCTGCGTTTGATATGATACAGTGCCTTATCATGTCCTTGAGACGTCTCAAAGTGCTGCACAGAATATATTATAATAATATAATAATAATAATCCTTGCATTTGATATAGCGCTTTTCACGTCTTCTCGACGTCCCAAAGCGCTTCACAGAATATACTGTAAAGTGAATTGACTGTATATTTGTGGGCGAAACGCAGCAGCCAATTGCGCACAGCAATGTCCCACAAACAGCCATAGACTGAGTGACCCACATTTTTTTAGAAGGGATTAATACTCTCGGAAAGTGATCTGCCAATCGACTAACAATCAGGTTCCAATTTACTGCGAGATAAACAGGGGCGTGTGGCGTAAGGAAACTTGTCTAAGTTTCTCCCCGCCCAGGAATTGAACCCAGGTCCTCATGATTGCGAGGCGAGCACACTAACCGCTGAGCTACAGGACTCCACAAAGATTTGACTCCTTGTCAGCTTTGAATTCCAATATTTAACGCGGCTGTGTGAGGGGAAACCTGGAAAGAGGATTCATGCGACCGCAGTTTCCAGCGATTGAGTGGAATTAAGGTCCAAGGAGTTAGCTTTGGGCCATTTTATTATTAATATTGGTTATTACTTGTTAATTTATAAGAATTCTCACATTTGATCCAGACTCTATCGTCGAGACGTCTGGAAGCTGTTCACAGGATTTGAATGTTAAGGGTGTAGTGACTGAGTATTTTGTAGGCAACTTGCTGTAATGGTTTTGGTGTTTATGTAAACGAGTTGGAAGGGGTCAGGAAACAACAACAATTTATAGAGCGCCTTTCACGTCGGGAGGACGTCCCAAGGCACTGTAAAGGAGAGAGAGCAAGGGATTTAATCGACAGTAGGTCTGTGTTGGATCATGAAACTGAGCTTGTATGAAGTGGTGAATTTCTCCGAAGGAAAGTATATAGTACAGCCTTATGTATAATGAGGTTTGACGGGGGGGAATGTTGCTTATTTCGCACTCAGGTAATGGGAGACGCAGGTTGGAGAAAATTGCTGGTTACCAAATGTCACAGGGAATTGAATGTGTAGGAAAAAATGGCATTATATAGAGAAAGGAAGGGGTTTTAGAAAAATGAGTGGATGTAATTGCCTTTGTATCTAGGACAGAGAAAAGGTGTGGGAGATGAAGCGCTTTGGTATGTCCTACTAACAATGTGCAAGATCAAATAAACTCTTCAAATATATATAATATATTTGAAGAGTTTAGAGAAGCTGACAGATACATCTAAATTATAATACTTATGTAAACAGTGAACATCGGCTGCTGAAATACTTTGACTTTATGGCAGTTTTTTTAAAAAAATGTAAAAGCCTGGTGAATATGAGGATGTGTTCCTGTGTCTTTAGGTTTTCAGAAATTGGAAATCACAGATGCAGGCGTCCAGGTTTATTAATAGAAAATGTTCTCTCTAAGTAATGTAAATCAATGTTCCAAGTCCATGTTAACACTATTGGCCTTTCGGCTATTGAATGGGTAGTTCATCCACCGTTCTGAAGAATGACTGTGGATTATGACCAATTACTTCAGCTCTTTATATGATGTAATGACTGGAAAAACTTTGTTTCGATCCCCATTTAAACTGGAGTTTAAGGTGTAGTTTAGACTCTGAATGTGGAGTTTAGATTTGTCATATTTAGATACCTTCCTTGCAGGCTTAATGTTACTTTATTTTCATTTTCAATGTTATTTTATGACTTATAAAGAAACGATGTTGAAACCTCGATTGATATTTTAGAAAATGTACTTCTTTCTGAGAAATGGGTGAAATTTCAGCCAGAGCCAGTGATTCCAAGGAATGTTTGGGTTTATCATTTATTTTTATGGTCTCGCTCTTACTATATGTAATGCTGAAAAATGGCTCTTAGTGCTTGTAGCAATGATACAGATTGGATGTCAATCATGTTATAATAACAATCCTTGTAGCTTTTATTGCGACTGTTTTAAATAAGTCTGAAAATGATTTCCGTTTTTGCGTCGTCCTTGTTTGGACATTGAAATTTATTCTCCTAAATATTTTAAATGTGTTCTTCACACAACTTCAAATCACCTCACCGTATTTTCTGATCAATGTGACGACAAAAAAATCTGATTAGCAGGAAATCAAGAGTATTTGTAAATTGACTCATCAGCATGACTCCTTGAGACATTGACCTGAATTTATGTGGCCACATTCAGTAGCTGAGACTGATTGAGCATAGTTATCAGAAGAGGGAGGAAGCCTGCCAGCTTATACTTTCTTCCTGGATATTAAAGAAATGTATGTAGCCTTGCCTGTGAACAATATAAACTGGGGGAGAAGCGTATCTGTAGTTTGTTGAAACTGAATCAATAATAGGTGGTTCATCCACTGTCCCCAAGCATGTAAAGAGGAACTTCCATAGGATCTGTCAGCCTATGTTTCTTAAGCCTAAATTCCTGACATGCACAGAGCTCTGTCAAGGACCTGGGTAGATAATATGAAGCCTGTGACTTTCCAGGCAGCTGAGTCATCAAATAAAAATATTTGTGAAGTGGTTTGCTTCATGGCGAAACTGAGAAGGCACATTATAAGCATTGTGGAATGTGAGAGGCATTTTTCATTTTAATACTAAGAGTGAATCAGAATAATCCTTAATTTCTCTGACAGACTAGTTTTTCTTTCAGGGGAATTCCAATAGAATAATAGAATGCACTTTGAACATCTAGAAGATGTGAAAGGGCTATATTAAATGCAAGGATTATTATTGTTTAATATTGGTAATAATAATAATAGGAAAAAACTATTATTTATTCATATTTCTGAGACGATACATTTTCAAAATAATGAGTACTTTTTCCTCTCTTGGGAATGGTTGTCTCATTGGGAACCAAGTGAATTGCTTTACATTCCTTTAGATTCCCAGTGAGGGAATCTGTCAAATCACACACAAAGTCCTTTCCAGGCATTATATTTCTGTATTCAGAACCAATTCCAGGTGGCAATCTGAAGCATATCCTAGAGCACATCTAAAATGTGCACCTCCTTATTGTTGTACTATGTGTTTAAAATTAATGTTTACATTTAAATGTTTTGCCTGTTTTGAGTACAAATAGCATAGAAAAGAGAGCCAAACTATCCTTTACAAATTCAATAGGATTGTCCTTGAAAATCTGTTTTTCAAAAAACTTCTTGCAAATGATTCATTCAGCCTAGCCTGACTGCAGTGAGGTCATCAATGAGTCTTAGATTGTGAGTGAGACTGGTTTGTCTGGAACTGCTAGATTGACTTACAGATTATAGATTTTGTAACTATTCATCTCTTTGTGGGACGCTGCTGGGCGCAATTGGCTGCCGCGTTTTGCCCACAAAATATATAGTCAATTCACTTTGCAGTATTCTGTAAAGTGCTTCGAGATGTCTAGAAGATGCGCTAAGGTGCTATATCAAAGGCAAGGATTATTCTATTATTTATCTCCTCTGTCCGATATTCCGTACTGCATCCTTAAAAAAGAAGTTCCTTTGAAATGGCACTACTTGTATGACTGAGATAGAACTTTGCAAATCTGTTTGCCCTGTAACTTAGTTTAGCTTCCTGTTGCAGAATTCATTTTTTTTATTTTAATGTTTAATGTTTACTTTCCTGGTCCTGGAAAAGATTAATTGAATTGTATATTCTCTTAATTGCCATTTCTCTCACAGAAACCATGGCAAGTCCGGCAAAAGAAAATTATCGAATGAATCGTTACAAGAATAAAGCACTGAATCCTGAAGAAATGCGAAGAAGGCGAGAGGAAGAGGGAATTCAGCTCCGCAAACAAAAGAGAGAACAGCAGGTATGGATGGTTCTCTGCATTCCCGTGTGTGGATTTAATGAGCTTCTTTTGTGTGTTCAAATTAGCTGCTGCAATACATGGTCACTCCACTTTATAGCATATCCCGTAAAGCATTTTGGGATCTCCTCCTGATACGAAAGGTGTTATACCCAATGTAAGGATTATTTCTCCCCCCCCCCCAGCAGTCAGGCGGTTTGATTCTCTTGCAATAACTATTTTCTACCACTGGATGGTTGTCTCCATTTTAAAACTTAGAAAACATGCCATTCAGTGACCAAAAAAACCTAATTACAACAACTTGCTTTTCGTCAGCACATTTCCTTAATGTATCTGTTACCATTGACAAAACCTGAACTGGTGTTAGCTGAGTTTTAGATGATACATCTCGATCTCAATCAGGAAATGGTGATTGGGGGGTAACCACAGGGGTGTAATGATAAGAGTTGCAGCTTGCAAACTGCAAAGCAGGAGATCGCTGGTTTGAATCTGGGTGAGTGCTGAGTTTGCTGGTCTCAGCTGGGGTTACAAGGGGAAGCTAAATTGGCTCTGACCTTTCCATGATAAACCAGGGGAAAAACAGCCAATGTTCCTCATCTTGATCCCTCATCAGCACCATCTGCTGGAAGTGCATGTGTGTGTGATTGCCGAGGGAAACCGAGATCAATTGGGCTTGGCTGTTGACTCTCACAGTTGAGTGGCCTGACAACTCTTGCGGTGGAGGCTCACACATGGACAATGGCCACTTGGGCAGCGTCCTGGAGGGCAAGCAGTCTGGTTGGAACCTCATCCCACGTGAGGAGGCTACGGCAACAACAGCAAATTACATCTGTATAGCACCTTTCATGGATCAGGAGCAACCAGAAGCAGGGCTATACGGCAGTGGGAGAACAAGTTAGAAAACTAATTAAATACACTAAATCTATGTACTTTTTAAAAAAAAAAGTTTCATTGATTTGCACAGCGGGTACTTGGTTTACATTTGACATGTTGGTTTTCCAGCTGTTTAAAAGACGAAATGTGGAATTCATCAATGAAGAGTCTCCGCTGTTTGAAAGCCCTCTCATGGACTCCTACGTCAGCTCGACGGGAGCAGGGGTAAGAACTGTATAATGATGCATGACTTGACATCTCTGAATGTTTATTGCGTATCGAAATGCATCTCGTCAAACAATCTGAATAACACTGTGGCTGAAAGGTAATGGTCACCAAGAATATGAAAGTTGAGTTTCTACTTTGTATAAAAATAATCGGCGCAAGTCTGATTTCTAGATTTTAAATTATTGTTATTTAAATGATCTGGAATAGTCTTTTGTATTACGTAGGACTCTTAACATTGTTGGTAACCTTGAAATCTATTGCCTATATAGGAAGGAGTTATCACGAGGGATATGGTACAGTTGCTTTTCTCTGATGACGATGAGCAGCAGCTAACCACAACTCAGAAATTTCGGAAATTGCTCTCCAAAGGTAATACAGTTTTGCAAGTTTATATTTAAACAATGGTAATGTCATCTAGAATTTCTACTTTTTAGAGAAAATCCTGCAAAATGCTTTGAGGCGTCCTCCCAATGGAAAAGGCGCTACATCAAGTTTAAAAATTATTATTCTGAGTTTCCAGGTCAATACAAAGATTGAAAAGGAAGGTTTTATTTTGAGCCTCTAGTACGACACAAAGCAGAATTAAATTATTTTTAACTTTGAATTTATGTCATAAAACATACTCCTGCAATAACTCTTTGATTTGTTTATAGAGCCTAATCCTCCCATTGACGAGGTAATCAATTCTTCTGGTGTTGTGGAAAGATTTGTGGAATTTTTGAAAAGGCACGAAAATTGCACACTACAGGTAAAGCAGTAAAATGATTCCTGAACTGAACTGTCGCTTGGTGCTGACACTGACTTTGGTGTTAACATCATTATCGAGTAGAGAAAACTAAGCAGGAGAAATACTATTTTAATGAATAGTGTGAAATGTCCTCGCAGATTTTTAGGATTTGCATTATTTACCTTATTTATGATCAGTCAGTTAGAGAAAAAAATGGACGTATGTTTTTTGCTCTGTTGTATGTTTCATTGAGTGATCGTTGAATCTCTCGTTTGGGATAAAGAAGACAATTCCAATTGTACATTTGGTTTAAACGCTGATCCTGTCCTGTTGCAGTTTGAAGCAGCGTGGGCTTTGACAAACATAGCCTCTGGTACATCCCTCCAGACCAAGGTTGTCATCGAGGCTGGTGCAGTTCCAATCTTTATTGAGCTGTTAAAATCTGACTTTGAGGATGTACAAGAACAGGTAAGACTTTATACTGTGCTTTTACTGTCCTTCTTTATGGTAATAAGCACATCATACAGTGGAATTCTTGTAAAGTGGGGGAAATGGCTGATGATTTTTGTTTAAATTGCTGCAACACAAAGTTAAAATCAGCTTTGTCAATCTATTTTCTAGACCAGAATTAGAAAAAACTGGGCTGTTGTTTCAAAGAGGCAGATACCTTATCTACTATATGGTCATCTTTAGAAAATGTGATCAATCATGTCAGATAATAGTTTACCACGTTAGTGTTGAAGCCCATGGGAGGCAAATGTAGTGATATTATAATGTCTAATCTGACATATTTATGAGATTACTAGCTGTTAAGGCACAATTAGTAGCTAAACCAATGTAAATGTGCAAGTACAGAACATTCATAATGGTATTGTTGAAAAGCAATTTTAAAAGGATAATTTTCAATAGGTTTTTTAAACCATTAGTAATTTTCTTCACACGTCTTTTGTTTAGGCGGTGTGGGCCCTGGGGAACATTGCAGGGGACAGTGCTGTCTGCAGGGACTTTGTGCTGCACTGTGGCATTCTGCCACCTTTGTTACAGTAAGTACTTTCACACTTTTGCCATTCATTTTGCAACGTTAAACTAATCAATGTAAATGAGCAATAGGCAAAGTGCACTATATTCCATTGAAATAAGATCTTCTAGTTTGTGGAATAAAATTTGTACACAAAATCACGATGTGTGCAGAATAATGGATACTGATAATTTGCCACGATACAATCAATCTACCATCTTCAGTTGATTGCTTCATGCCGTACATTATTGTGTGATTGTTGTAATTGTTAAAGTTGAGGACTTGAGGGTGTGGAAAAAGCTTTGGTTTTCTACGTTGTAAATCTGACCCTGTTTTCCTCCTTTTTCCTTTAGTTTATTGACAAAGTCCAATAGACTCACTATGACGAGGAATGCTGTGTGGGCTCTGTCAAACCTGTGCAGAGGGAAGAATCCGCCTCCTGAGTTTGAAAAGGTTTGCACCGTGTACATCCTTCTGCTTGAGAAAATCTTAGTGTGGTTTGTGAGGTTGGGGTGGGGGGGCGGTGGGTGACTTACAACACAAGTCAGTGATGGGCATCTGCTCTCTTTGTCAGTTTCCAAACAGTATAGGCAGTGGTTTGGGCACAGGGTATGTTTGTTTGAAAAGGCGACAAGTGAGCTGCTTACAGAATCTGCCCTTTTCTCTCTGCAGGTTTCTCCCTGTTTGCCGGTGTTGTCCAGGTTGCTGTTCAGCAGTGACCCTGACTTGCTGGCTGATGCTTGTTGGGCATTATCCTATCTGTCAGACGGACCCAACGAAAAGATCCAGGCAGTTATCGACTCTGGGGTCTGCAGGCGATTGGTAGAACTTTTAATGTAAGTTCATGTGTAATCCACCTTACAGTACATTCTGTGGAGCACTTTGAGATAGCTCAATGATAAGGCGCTATGTTGAATACAAGTATTATTCTATGGATTGAGAACGTGACTACTAGAATTCATAATCTTCTTGCATTTCATTGAGCGCATAGTGATTAAGAGCATGCAGGGAATATAATTTATGCTTTCTGCCCAGTCTTTTTTTTCCCCCAGATATGTTAAATATGTTAATTGTTTTAATTGTACTTATTGGGCAATATAAGTTCTCATTAGCTTGATTACCACGTCTTCTGATTCTCTATCTTTGTGTGACGTTTTGTGAAATGACTGAAACTTTTCTTGGGTGTTTTTATTCCTGAAGTTTTCTCTCTCCCTCTCGCACAGGCATAATGATTACAAAGTTGCATCACCAGCGTTAAGAGCTGTGGGTAATATAGTCACTGGCGATGATATCCAAACACAGGTAAGCACACCAAGGCAGTTTGTGGATATGGAGTGTAAGACTCCAGATCAGGAAAGAAGCAAAACGGTCTCTTAATTAAGTTGACCTATTTTTCTTTTTTAAAAATGGGGTTCTGAGTTATTTTGGGTAATTAAACCAATTTATAGCTTTAATGTAGATATAATAATAATCCTGGCATTTAATGCAGCGCCTTATCATGTCTTCGAGACATCTCAAAGCGCTTCACGGGATATACTATAATGTGAATTTACTGTGTTTTGTTGGTGAAAAGAAAAGATTTTCACTGACGAAAGATGATTTATAGAGGATAATTCTTGTGTTGTCAGGTGATTCTAAACTGCTCTGCCTTGCCGTGCCTCCTGCATTTGTTAAGTAGTCCAAAGGAATCCATAAGGAAGGAGGCATGTTGGACCATTTCAAATATTACAGCTGGCAACAGAGCACAGATTCAGGTACAGGAAACCAGATTTTGTCGGAAACCTGTAAATGCAGATGAATTGCACCCAGTGTTCTGTTAGAAATCCCACATCCTGTCTAGTATTCGTACTAATGACTCTGAGCAGACCAGCAAAATCCATATTAAGTTACTGTGGGTTTTAAATTCTATAATGATTAAGATAGAGGGCTGGATATGGGGTGGGATACATGGTGGATCTTTTTCTAACTTTTTTTAAGAATGCAATGAATTGGCTCATGTGGCATTAATTTAACTGCGTGTGTGAGTATGTGTTTGCGTGTCTTAAGAATTGAGGCCAATTTAGAAATTATTTTAGCTTGGCAAACGTTTTCAAGTGAAGGCTTCATATTTTTTCTCTGGCGACGCATCTCACCAAAGTCTAGAAAATCCTGAGCATTTTAATGAGAGCAAAGAACAGGTGGTAGACTACGCCCAGAAAAAGGTTCCACCTGTCTCTCCCAGTCCTCTTGTAAAGGTGTGACTTTCTGCTGGGGTATGTGCCCTTTCGTACACCTTGCTTAACTGCACATTGCACAGGTGGTTTCATTGTGGGCGTTGGCACTTTAGAGACATTTGGCTCAATGATCCTGTTACGCTGGCAGCTTATCCACGTTCTCTTTATGGAGCTTCCTGTTAGCTTTCTATATGTCACTTGAACCACATATTGTTCTGTGAATTGCTATGTAATTTTTTGGGGGAGGAGAGAGAGATTAATAACTACTATTGATGTATAAATCTTTCAAACTTCCAGGTAATAACATGTATTTGACCATATTTTAAAATTACTTTTCAGGCTGTGATTGATGCAAACATTTTCCCAGTGCTGATCGATCTTCTTCAGAAGGCAGAGTTTCGGACAAGGAAAGAGGCAGCGTGGGCTATCACTAATGCAACTTCTGGAGGAACCCCAGAACAGATTAAGTAAGTGTTGAGAACTATCCTTGTTATAATAGACCATAGAAAACCAAGATGTGTAACTAACAGTAGGCAATGCAGAAGTAAACTGTGATTGTATAAATCGGGACTGTTGTAGGTTTTTAATCATCCTGCATTAATGCATTAAGATCATAATTGCCGCTGCCAAAATAATAAATTGTGGGTTCACCCTCTTGAACTCTCATCCTTTGTCACTTTGTCTTGCTGTCTCCCTTGCCTTCTTCAAGGCATGTCTCAAGACCCTCCTACTACTGCGCCTTCGGTCACCCTCCCTCCCTCCTGATCCCAACCGCCAGCTCGGGTCCAAATCCCTGACTGTCCAACCTTGGGGCGTCCTCCCAACATGAAAGGGGCCATACAAATGTAATTCCTTATTTACGCCTAAGAAAAGTGATTTCAACAATGTAGTCAGGTCAGATTCATGAAGCCAGTATTGTTCACTGATAAAGTTTGCATCTTCCCAATAACTGCCTTGGAATCGAGTGATTCTGAATGTAATGCTATAAGGTCCTCAGAGCATAGTGAAACTCTATAAAATGTTTTTCTTGACCTGGGATGAAATGCCCTAACAAATCTGTTTTTTTTTCTTGCTTTTAAAGGTATCTTGTGAACCTTGGTTGTATTAAGCCTCTGTGTGACCTCCTGACAGTAATGGACTCGAAAATAGTTCAGGTCGCCCTGAATGGCTTGGAAAACATTTTACGACTGGGAGAACAGGAAGCCAAACAGAATGGAACTGGGATCAATCCATATTGTAGCCTTATTGAGGAAGCCTACGGTAGGAGAAGGGACAAGATCTCAATGTCTAGATCTTAATTTTAAATTCAAATTGGATTGTTTAATACACAGGCAAAAACTGCAAAGCGCTGGAAATAATCTGTTGTGCTCCTTTGTTGACAGGTCTGGATAAAATAGAATTTCTACAGAGCCACGAGAATCAGGAGATCTATCAGAAGGCCTTTGATCTCATCGAGCATTACTTTGGCGTGGACGAGGAGGACAGCAATATTGCCCCGCAGGTGGACGAAACCACCCAGCAGTTCCTCTTTCAGCAGCAGGAAGCCCCAATGGAGGGTTTCCAATTGTAAAGTCTGTGTGGCGAAATACACAGCCACAGACTCTTTCCCACCCCCCCACCACATTTGGTTGAATTGCCCCCTCTTCTCCCCATCCCCACCCACCCCACCACCAACTTGAATCGGGTCACTGGAAACCACATTCGTTTTCTTCTATAAGCAGATATTTTTGAGGAAAAATGAATTTGTTTTAGACAAAATCAAGTACTTACTCCTTAGTTATTTCGAGGGGTGGAATTTTGCAGGGTAATTGTTGCACTTTCCCTTTAGTTTAATTGATTAGTGTTGCTTCAGGACTCAGTATTTTTCAGTTTGTGCAACATACCTCAAGCACCTACAAACGGCAATTCTCCCAGCGATGAAGCTAGACAAAATCTCGTACAATAAACTTCATTCTGGTAATCATTGGATGAAATGTGAAATTTCAAAATGATACTTGCAATCTAATTTTCCACAGTGGTATCATATCTCTAGTTGGAAAATCTGAGTTCGATGTCTGATACGACTAACATTCATTAAAAAAAATGTTGCTTGAGTAATAAGTGAAGTAATCCATTAGGCAAATTATTGCCTTTTATGAATGACAGCTACTTTATTCAGGTAAGCATGCCATTGGAACAATTGGATCTTAGCGTCTGCAGGTTTGGGGAAGAATTGTCCTTTGAGCGGATCTGTATTTGTAGAGATGTATTTTTTTTTCCCACGTGCGGGAAGGTGGGGGGGGGTTAAAGAAAGAGCTTAAAATATTTCCGTGAATATATAGAAAACTAGGCAATGCATCTGTTTTAGAAGATTTAGTCCTAGAAATTCAGTAGAGTCTATAATGAGCAAGCTTGTGCTAATTCTCAGTTTTATTTGAACTTAATGGAATAATTCTTTGGCTGGTTGCAAATAGCATAAATCAGTAGAGGAGCCAAGATTCTGATTTCGATGTTCAGAGCTGTGGATTTAAGAAGCAAAGGAATTCAGGAATTGGCACAATCAATATATCAAGGAGTTTAAGTGTATATTTGCTACTGGTAGAGCTGCTTTAAGCGGTAATGAAACCGAGTCGGGTTTACTTGATTATGGTTTAATTTAAACATTCTAATTTGATTTCTGTGTTTTGTTTTGCTCTTTGGAAAGAGGGAAGGTTGGAGTTTTTTGGGGGTTAGTGGTTTGGAGAAAGTAGCTGACACAGTAGTTAAATATATGAATATATATATATATATCTAAGTTGTGTGCTGTGTTAATGAAAAATAGAAGTGCCTGACCTTTCCAGGTATTGCATTAGGACAGCTGCTGATTATGTATTTAACAAAAGTTATACATTTTTGGTAAGTCTTAATTTGACCAGAGATCTGATGATATTTAATGTGCATATTAGAAGCTGTAGTATGCAAACCTGGAAACTTCAGTCGCCTTCATTCATGTTATGTTAAGATAAGGAATATATTCAGCCCTTGCCAAGCAGCCAAGAGCCAAGCTTTGTAGCTCTGGTTCGTCAGCCTCAGCCCTAGCTTATTACGTAGCATTATTGCAATAGAATTAGAGAACTTCTTTAGCCAAAATGTTAACCTTCCTATCTGTAGACTTCTTTCCCAAGCTTCTTTCAGAAGTTCCAACCTTACTTGAATTTTTATACTACATCCTATTCTAGGTTTGTCTCTGGTATTATGCTTTTACTGAATATTTGCTGTTAAAGATCTTACATAGTAATTGCAATAACCGGAGATGCATGTCTTGTTTACTTGCGAGATCAGATTCAGCTTGGATGAAAGATCTCTCTGGTGTTTAGACTTGCCACTGTCCTGCAACAATATGAAGACATTACTGTGTCACGCAGGTCAGGAGACGAGTGTGGATTAAAATCAGACACTTCACTGGCCAGGCACATTAGATTTCTTTAGCTCTTTAATTGTTTTTTGATGGGATTTTACATTCCAGAATTAAACTAAATCAAGCCACAATATGTTTGGAAAACAAAATGAAATTTGCACCAGTGTAAATAAGATTGTGCTGAACCCTACCTCATCTCCACGTTGCCCTTTGGATTCATGTCACCTATATTTTAAAAAAAAGTCGGCTTGCTAGTGACACAGTGGAGAAGGGAAAGATAACAAACTTAAAACAATTGTACAAATCCGGGCGAACTTTGGTGAGAAAATGGAATGAATGTTGATCCGAGCATTTTTGGAACCTCATGGCTGATAACCTTATGCTTTAGCAAGGGAATAGTTGTCTACATTCTAACAAATGTTATAACACCTTTTTGCACACATCACTGCATACATGCAGACATGCCAGCATACAGTTTCACACACCTTTGCATCTGCAGCATTAGAAGAAATGGCTTCCATATTGAATACTGGTGTCCAAATGTACATGATACGAATTGGGAAGGAAATCTTTCAGTTTGAACCGGGGAGACTTCTTTAGTAAGAAAAAAAAACTGTGAATCTTAATTGTTAAATTCTTTTAAACACTGAAAATGGAAGCCATTTTTCTCTACCTCTGCCATTGCGATTCGCTTTGCCGTGGAGGGCAGACAGATCACACCACAGACATTAGGGATTGACAAAATGGAACCATAGTGAACTGAACTTGGACATTCTGAAAGTGTACCTCACTTCATGTGTTCTTTGAGGAACAACAGACGTTTTTGCAGCTACTGTTACTGAAATCTTTAGTCCACGTGTGGTAGCTGTGCCTGCATCAGAAAATGGCAACGCGTTTAGATGAATAGTTCTGGTTACTTGATGAAAATTGTGTTGACATGATTTACTGTCCAGTGGGAGACGGCAGATGTCCATTTTTGTTTTGAGGGAGACGAGAGGATTAAAGTGAGACTGTTGGGTGCAAAGTGATATGCACCAGAGGTAATTTCAAAGTGCTTCAATACTGTACTTTGAAAATATTGTATAAATTTCTTAAGTAATTAATTCTCACTTTGAATGCTGCAGAGTTTAGCAGCTTTGAAAGTGAAACAATTGTGAATTCCTTTCTTTTTTTCCCCCTTCCCCAAAAAACAAGGGATTCAGATCAACGTAACTTTTGCAATGGCCTACCCCAGTTTAACTTGGTTCTATTTTTCGTGTCCCTAACCGACCTGTGTGACACTGACTGACTGAAAATGTGTGATGTGATGGAGAGTTTGGATTGTGTACTTTCCATTGCGTCAGTGAAGACAAAAGTTTCTCTCTCTCTAAATACAAACAAATTCCAAATTGTAGGAATGGGCTCAGAACCAGATATCAAAATGAGCATTTCCAGATTGTTAAACCGCTTCTACTAGTTGAGTGACTTAATAACGATTTCCTTCTGACAAGTGAATCTAAGGTCTATTCCATCCTACTTCTGTTGCAGGAATACTTTCATAGATGTGCTGTAACTTGATTCCCTCCCAGAATCTTGAAAACCGTTTAGTCAGTGCTCAAAATTGGCCAATTTTGGCATATATTATGAATCTAAAAAAAATTGCACAACATTCCTTTACTACAATCCCTGTTTTATGTTGATGTAGTACAAGAATGAGTTAATTCTTAGGGCAATTAATATAATCTTTAGATTTTTTTTGAGTGACTAACTGGTACTTTTCTGAATATAATTGCATTTTGAAAACTTTCTTGGCAGACCAACACGATCTATATCTAATGTTTTAGCCCTTTCACCACCAGCTTAGAACTAAATATATTTTTTAAATGCCTCCAGGATGGTGCAGCATTAATATGCGTTAGATTTAGGTTTAAAGTTTCCCTATATAACTCCAGAAAATGTCATCCTAACTATAGTATTCTGTATTCGGAAGAATGTATGTCTTGGATGCTATGCATTTACAATTTTTCAAATAGTTGAATCATAAACATTGAGCTCGCCACATCAGTAAAAAGGTGCTGTTAATAATAAAAAAAAACAGGTTGGTGAAGGGTTTAGTGGTATTTTGCCACGAAAGTCAGGTGCACTTTCGGCCTCTAGTTTTGCTGGTAAAATATTTCACACTTTAATGATTTTGAAACATTTAACATCTGCTGCCAGAAATACAAAAATGTGCGTTAAGCAATTAAAGATTCTGTTATTTCTTTATTACCTCTCAACTCTTGGGGCTCAGTGGAGGTCACCACAGAGAGGTCTGTGTGGAGGAGTTGCTTCTGTGCCCAGCTATACCTCGTATGTTGGTGGCAGCTGTTAACAATAGATATTTTAAATTTCACTATAAATCTACAGTGAACAAATAGTACAGCAAATATTTGTCCAGGATATGGTACATAATTTCTACACACGAAAAGAGAAACCTTATAAATTGGTACCAATAGCATTTCAAACTAGTACAATATTGCCATTGAAAGCTCAGAGCTTCCATTTGCCAACTATGCAAATTTTGCTTGAGGCCTTCTGACCAGGGTCCCCATCTTTAATCTTTCTATGTCTACGACGCTTGTCTCTTTTGTCAATAGGGGATTTTTGTACAGTTTTCTACTGATATTTTGATGTATAATACTTAAAAAAAACAAAACAAATTGTGCAATTTGGCGGAGAAAGAGTTCCAGTTTATATTGTTAATTGGAACCGGTATAATTTTTGAACGATTCTGATGCTGGGAATCAGTGCTGCCTCAGTGTAGGTACATCCCAGAAACAGTCCATTTACAAATTTAATTAAAAAAAACAAAGCTGCTACACTTTATGGGGAATAACTTCTGTATTGTGAACGTTGTAATTTCATTATTTATTTTACAGAAGTTTTTTTTGCCCACGTTACTGCACTTGTAGCCTTCCATTGCAAAGTCGCAGCATCAGACTTTTTGCAGAACAAAAAAAATTACAAATGCACTCCTGTTCTTTATTCACGCAAGTGCCAACCCGACCATGAGTCTTCGAGGATTTCTTTGTATCTTCGCGGTCTTTACAATTTTATTTTACTTGAATCTGCACATTTGTTTTGGATATGTGCAAACATGCTGCTTTTTTTTGTTCCTCCAAATGCCACAACCACATTACTTAAGACGTTAAGCGTGGCAACCATTAGTATTATATGCACTAATCTATTGATTAGAAAGGAAATCGGAATATAGTTAATAATTGATCACGAATTAGAAAATCCGACTCAGCAGTGTGCACCTGTGGCCACAGTTTTTTTTTTTCATTTTCTGGTTTGCAAACAACTGTAGGAGGATTAAATTTTACAAGATTTTTTCTTGATGAATATGTAGTTTAAAAAAAAATGCATTACCCCAAAAAATTGCATTTGTTCTATTTATTTTCATACATGGTTTATTATATAAGAGATTTTTTTACTTGTTCTTCTACAGATGTTTGCAAATTTAAATGCTGTGTCCAAATCGCTGTTCCACAAAACTTGAATAAAATCAGTTCTCTTTTCTCTAGATTTTTTTTCTCTTATCTTGGGAAGGTGTGTTAACCGCCCATAATGCTTTTGACAGATGACGGACTTGACAGTTGACTGTATGAATGTGTGATGACTGAAGCAGACTGCACCAACAGAACACGACACACAAACATAACACAAACAAAAGCAATTACAAATTGTTTTCTTTGTTTAAAACACTGTAATGTACTACAAGTATGAAATAAATCTTGTTGCAAATCTGTAGCCTTCTGTGTGTCTCCATTTGCCTTTACAGCAGTCTTTGTGCATCTTATTACCATTCCATCAGAATCACTGTAATGCAGACAACAATGAATCTGTCTTTTAAAGTGAAATTATTGAACAGAATTAAAATGCAGTTTTCTGTGAAATCTATGAATGCACAAATGGCCAAAACCAATTACAGTAATGAGATGGATTTCAAGATGTGTGTATGTTGCTTTAAATTGATATTCTGCATGTTCAATTTGTTCTGTTGACAACTCTCTGGGCCCCCAGGTTTGCAAGGGGCGGGGATACCACTGTCAACTGGTGCCAAAGCATTTGAAGGAAAACGAAACTTAGGAGATGAAACTTTCTGACGTTGCTCGGGGCAGATGCACAAAGGCAAATTATTCAGTGTCTGCACGACTGGCACTGATTTGAAAGCTGAATCAGATGAAAGCCGCAAGGTTATGCCTGATCGCTTAGCGGTGGGGGCGGAAACAAAAGGCTTTTTAAAAACAATCGGGACGTTCAATCCACAACCGTGGGTGGGACACTGCTGTGCGCAATTGTGCTGCCGCGTTTGCGACCCCCCCCCCCCCCCAAAAAAAATAGTCACTACACTTTCCAATTCGCGTATCGTGCGGAGCTCTTTGAGGCGCCGTATCGAATGCAAGGATTATTATTATTATGTCACAAGCCCTGGATTATAATAATAATAATAATAATAATCCTGGTATGTGATGGGCACAGAATGTGGAGCAATTCATCCACTGACCAACCAGCCTGGCCAGGGAGGGGCCGCGGGCGCCGTGCATTGTGGGAGTTGTAGTTCCGACCGGCTCTTCCGGTGTGGGCGGAACCCCTCCGCGCCGTCTTCCCCCACCCCACTGCGTCAGAGGATGTCCCGCCCTCTGTCGAGCCCGATTGGCTGGAGGACGGGGCGGGCGAGGCGGAGCGGCCTTCTGATTGGTTGCGGACGGCCGTCAATCGGGAGTCACTTCCGAGTGTTGGGGGAGGGGGGGTTCTTCAGCGCTCGAGAGAGGATTAACCGCCGCGAGAGAGAGCGAGAGAGAAGCTTCCAGAGGGGCAGCGGCTGCCGGTAAAAGCCTCAGTGGCCGCTCTACGCGCTTCTTCGGGCGGCCTCATCAGTGAGGTCCCGGGGGGGGGGGACTGTGAGGGGGTTTGAAGTCCCCCCCGAGGCGGGCGGTTCAGCTGCTTTACCGGCTTTCCCCTCAGCCGGTAATTGAGGCCTGGGCCGGGCTTCAAGGTGAGGGGCCAAGAGCCCCCCCCCCCCCCCCCGGGGAGGGAGTGGCCCCGGGGAGGGAGCGGTGTGGGTGGAAGCCCATTGGGGAGGGAGTGGTGTGGAGGGGGCCCTGGGGAGGGGGGCCCTGGGGAGAGAGCGGGGGGGGGAGGAAAGGGGTGCCCTGGGGAGGGAGTGGGGGCCCTGGGGAGGGAGTGGGGGCCTGGGGGGGGGGGGGGGGCCTGGGGAGGGAGTGGGGGCCCTGGGGAGGGAGTGGGGGCCCTGGGGAGGGAGTGGGGGCCCTGGGGAGGGAGTGGGGGCCCTGGGGAGGGAGTGGGGGCCCTGGGGAGGGAGTGGGGGCCCTGGGGAGGGAGTGGTGGGGGGGAGGGAGCGGGGGGGGGGGGGGCCGGGGCCACTTCCCTGCTATTTGATATGTTTTTATGTCCTGAAGAGGCTATTTCTGTCCATAACAATCTAAATTGTTATTGACAATAATAATAATGATAATAATAATTCCTGCATTTGATATATTAATGTGTTCCATTCCAGAAACCGCCGTTTCATTTTCATTTTAATAAAGGCAGTTTCATTGAGAGAATAATAATAATAATAATAATAATGTTCCTGGTATTTGATACGGCGCCTTATCGCCACTTTGAGACGTCTCAAAAGAGCTTCACAGGATACGCTGTAAAGGTGTACGTGATTGTGTTTTATGGGCCAAAGCTGAATGTTGCAAAGGGTTACGGGAAAAAAAATCTGTCTTTCCTTTTTTTTCTTCCGCTTTTTAGCAGGAACATTACTTTGAGCCGTTTACTGCCTGACACAGGCTTTTGGGGGGGTTCTGCTTGGCAGCAGTGTCCAGTTTGAGGGTTTTGTTCGGTCAATCGTACTACACACACACACGGCTTCAGGGTTAAGCTTGTTGCCGATTAGATTGAGAAGTAGTGATTTTTTTTTAGTTAGGAGGTAAAATCTTGACTATTAACGTCAGCAACAGATTATTTTCGGTATGTTTGTGCCCTGTAATCCTTTGTAACATTCAGCTTTACTTATTTTTTTTTTAAAAATGTTTCCTTCTACAGGAGATTGGGAAAATCTTATTGAAATTACGTCCGAAATTCTGTATGAAATCTGATAATGTCAGTACCGGTCATTCATAAAATGAGGAGAGTACTGTAACTGACTACAGGACTGGAAATGGGGTCCTTAACAACTGACTTGGTCGGCTATTATAGAAGCCTTCAAAGTGTAGTCCTGGGATTAAATGGGGTGCCCGCTCACCCCCTGCAAACTGCTGCATTTGCCAACAAATGCAAGGATTATAGTTACATTTGCTCACAGTTTCACATGAAAGTTGAATGAAGATATTTGTTAATTGGTTGGAATATCTTGTTCCATATATTTTCAACAGAGCAATGGAAAATTGAGTATTTTTTAATTCAAATAAAACTGTTTTAATCTGGTTTAATGTGGTGATTTTTCTATATTGTCAGTTTTTGTGATGCTGTGCCATGTCATCGGTAATTAATGACATCTGCGCATGAGTGTTTATGATTGGTTATTGAGAAATTATATTCAACTGATTACTGAGTAGCTTCCATCTTAGTGTCTGGAGTAATGCACATCATTATTTTGATCATGTGAAACCTGTGAATTCAATAGAAACTTAAAACCTTCAGAAAAGGTTCATAAATATTTGTAAGTTCATACATATTTGTGTTTCATTCTGTGTTGTTTCAACCATTGATGCAATTGGAAGTTATATGCCACTGAAACCAACTACATTACCTGCATTCCCTGGAATGCTTGCTCTCAGCATGTTTGGGGTATATAATTCAATCGCACTGTGTATCAATTTCCATATTGGGATAACATTTAATTTAGGGGGTTGTCAGGATTATGACAGATCCGTTGTTCACTTCTGAACTGTTTAGATATTTGGTGTCTAATTTTGAGATATTTAAATGCAGCCGATCGCAATTATAAAAATTTAATTCTACGATTTTGTTGTGTTTGTGCAGATTTCTGTTAAGATTCCATTAAACCAAGCTATGAAGAATCAAGACTCTGAGAGTCAGGTCAGCCCTGCTGTTGGTGGCTGTGACAGCCCAGTAGTTGGTGCCGCTGTAGCAGAGAGGCCAGACCCAGCTGGGAAAGAAGACAACTTAGATGTTGCTCAATGTGCCGGACACGAAAGCACACACCAAAGCAGCAGTGAATCAGCTGGTCAGAATGGAGCCTCAGAGAAGCAGAGTCAGGATGGTGGTGTCATTGCCACCACAGGCACAACGAGTGAAACAGCTTCAACAGACCGTAGTGAGGGGACTTCGGTTGCCCAGCCTGTTGCAGTAGAGATCGATACCGTCCAGTCTGAAACTTGCACCTCTGATGTCTCAGATGAGCTGAGCAGGAAGTTAGAAGACATCCTGAACACCTATTGCTCCACACTGGGGGGGCAGGCCGAAGAGACCCCCGAACTGGAAGAAGCGGAGAAATGCGTCAACAACGAACCTTTGAGAAATGGGGTGCGAGAGATCGTGTGCAGAGAGTTAAACGGAGAGATCGACAAAGTGGTGAAAGCGGTGACTCGGGTGGAGGATCCCAGAGAAAACGGTGACGTACCAGACATTAAAGATCAGAAAAAGGCTCCAGAGAAGAAGAAAGCCAAAGCCTTGGGTAAGCAACGTGCCTGGGAGCAGGGATGTTATTTGTCTACCTGACACACCTCTTTATAATTTTTATATCTGTTCTCGTTTATTTTTAATTTAGTGCATCTGTGCTTTTGTCCTCAGGAGAGTGAAACTGTTGTTTACACATGTTTACAGGCTTTGTGACAAGTTAACTTGGAAGTTAAAGATAAAAACAGAAGTTGCTGAGAACACTCAGCAGGTCAGGCAGCATTTAATGGAGAAAAGAAAGCGTTTCAGATCAATGACCTTTCGTCATTCTGACGAAAGATTTCCAGCATCTGCAATATTTTGCCTTTTGTTTAACTTGGTAGTCAGTTTGACAGTCAAAACTCTTGATGGGAAGTATAGATTTCTACCACACAAGTAAACCCGTGTGCAGCAGTGTGGGTTCTGCTCTGCTCCCACATAGACAAAAATATTTTGTTCATCCCAATTACAAACTGCATTGCATTATGTAAGTTACAGTAAGAATGTTCTTTGTTCTGTTCTGCAGGCTAACCAGTGTGAGAACTCTGTTGGCCAGAAACATTCGCATTACCAGTGCTCTTGCCTTACGGTTTGCAGCCTTTTTAACCTGATTGCTGCAAGTAGTTTATCCTGAAGGTTATTTTTCCCCCTGAAACCGCTTTAACCAAGATGGGGATATTACTCTTTGTGCTTTGTGTATTGCCTCCAGGTTCTAAGAATGATCACCTGGAATGTTTTTTCATTTGCATTGGATGCAGTGTGGCATTTTCTTTATTCAAAATCAGTTCAGTTTCAGAGGGGAACAAAAGGCAATGCAAAACGGGTTTGCTTGTGTGATGCATTATCAGCCTGTGACACAGAATTGCCGTTTTGCCCACGCACACTATCTGTGCCTCACTCCAATATCATAATAAACTGACCCGTTTCTAAATGGCTAAGCTGGGTCCCTTTGGTGCTGTCCTGGCTCCAAAGTAATCTGCTTGACAACGGAATGTTGGATTTGAGTCAAACCTCTATGGCGGTCTCCGTAGTCCAGTTCCTGAGTTGGTCGGGTGGGTCCAGTACTCCAGGGCACTGCTGATGACATACATGGCTACGTAGTTGGGTTTGGAGGGCCAGACCAGACACTGGCCTCCTTCCCACTACTGCAAGCCAAAGCCCCAATGGATAGGATGGTTCTTGCTGGACAAGTGGGAGCTTTGCCTGAATGACAAGCTATGCGGTGCTTTAACTGTTGAGAGTAAGACTTTCCTATCTGTGTTGATTACAGGCAGTATGTCGCACGTTTGTGTTGACTGCTGTCCTATGTGCATTCTCTAGTGATGTCATTCCCCGAGTGGCTAAATCACCAGTAACAACTTGTTTTTTTGGGGGAAGAAAATGTGGGTAACTGACACATTCCGGGTGTTTTGTTGTTGTGTCAGGCACCCATCCCTGTGATGACTCAGCCAGTGTAGGGAACGGCTGCTTATGTTTTTTCCTTCTCTCTCAGCAATTGTCACATTCTTTCCTGGACAGTGTGACATCCTGACTGCAATTCAGCATTAATTGGATAATCTGTGTCATGTACTAAACCACTTTTCTGCAGTGAAGCATTGGAGGGAGGTGGGAGAGACTGAACCAAAGACTTGATGTAGAAAGCAATGGCAACTGCACTGCTGCCCTCGTGGGTATAGGCTAAACCCTTCTGGGTGTTCGCAGTGAGCACCAGACACGCAGACCAGACAGTCGTAGGCTTGAGACGGTCTTTGCTGAGGTATCTGTGCCTAAATAGCTGTTGTTGCCTCATTCCTCTTCGGTCCAGATCTGGCTCCCTCGCCTTCGAACATTTCTAAAATATATATTTTTAAAACCCAGCTTTGTTTCAGAAAAAGGACATCTGGTTTAAAAAAGCCTACCTGACAATGCTGACGTGTATTAACTGTGGTTCCTTCTTACCAGTCGTACCACCAGGATATTTGTTGAATATGCCCAATGTGTACTGAACTGCACCTTACTGCAGTACAGGAGTAGAAACGACCTAAATAAATACTGCTGTTGGCAGGCGGACAGAGTGCGGGTTGTTATGTGTTCAACAATTTGAATAAGAGCTGTAGCTTTACATTCTATGGGATGAATCTGGAAGTGGCAATGTAATAAATTGTACACTTAGCGGAAGGGCACAGAGAACGTATTTAATTAACGGAGCATTGCGGAGAGGACTATGTATTATTCTTATCGCCACATTTGGCCAGTGGCTGGCTTAAAAGCGCAATACAAACATGAATCCAACAAACAGCAGTTCCTTTGAGAATTTTTGCCTCCATTTGATTTCATTAAATGTACCGACGTACGGGGCTGATTTCCTTTGCGTAAACCTACGGCTTATCAAAAGTGCGAGTCAGCGAAACAGGCTTCCGTCTACAGTCGGCAGTTTCTCGTGGGGGTGCATTCACTAAAACTCGTTACAAAATTCAGTTGTAATTTGAATTCTGCTTTCTGAACTCTTTGTGCCCGTTTGCTTTACTGTATCAAAATGTTGAAAAATAGCCATAGAAATATACCGGTCCTGAGCAGCTATTGTACCAGTCTGTGGGGCAAACAGCGTGAGGGGAGGCAAGCTCGCCTAAGAAATTTAGAGTTAGACGTTTGGTTTGTTTGAAGATCTTGGAACACAATGAATTCTTCCAGTGAGTTTCTTTTTATTAGTATTTCATTATAACTCTCTGCTGTAATTGCACATCTCCTGATAACTATAGTGAATGTTCATATAGTGAATGTTCCTATCTACCACTTGACGTATGTACACCAGCCAACTGTTGAAGTGTACGCACGTATGTACTCAGCACTTCGAGGTACCATATCAGGATATGTAGCGCAGGGGAAAAGATTGTTCAGACTTGAGCAAATGGGATGTAATTCACGCAATGGAATACTCAGACTTTGTACGTAGTTTTGTCTACAGCAATTTAAATCTGGGGGTGAGAGGAGAAGGTCTTTGCTAAACGTACTGAGTAAGTAGGGAGTGAAAAATAATTCTAAATGGGGAAAATGAGTGTCAAATGGACATTTTAAAATGATGTTTTAACTATTGTGCTTTTTCTTTTAATGGCAATTACAATTCCAAACACTTTCCCCCCAGGCAAAGAAATCACCTTGTTGATGCAGACACTGAACACTTTGAGCACCCCAGAGGAGAAGCTGGCTGCACTGTGTAAAAAATACGCAGACATGGTCAGTGTAGAAAGCGGCTTGTGACACTTCTATTTGGGCAGCTGTTTGTGTGTGTTACTGTAACTACTGCACCTTTTCCCATAAACCTGCAGAATATATTTTGTGGTAAAGGGATATGTGTCTTTTGTTTGTGATCATCATGCCAATCATTAGACAGCGTCCTCTAACAGGCCAATCTTATTCTTGGCTGAATTATAATTCTCAACGTGGAAGAAAATCCCAATTGCGCTAGATTATATTCGGATTTACAGCAAATTTGGGAATTATCGCCTCGGGGCTTATGAATAGGATCTAAAGTGGGGTATGATTTATGTTTAATAAAAAAAATTGTTTGAATTTGGCATTATTTCCATTATTAAGTAAAACCGTTGTCACTGGAAACTGTGTTCTTGACCTTCCCAATAACATGCGACCACTCTACAGCTGGAAGAGCACAGAAATGCTCAAAAGCAGATGAGACTGTTGCAGAAGAAGCAAACGCAGATTGTTCACGAGAAAGACCACCTCCGCAATGAGCACAGCAGAGCCATCCTGGCCCGCAGCAAGCTGGAGAGTCTGTGCCGCGAGCTGCAACGTCACAACCGCACCCTGAAGGTAAACTGATCCCTGACGTTCCTCCAGTTTGTCACTGTTGCTCCCGCGGAGGCAGTAAAGATACTCTGGCAAAAGGTTAACATAGACAAGGGGCCGTCAAACAACAGAGAGGTATAGTATTGTGCTGAGCTAAAGTGGGAATGTAGGCACCAGTGGACTCAGCCCGTACGTGTGTCTCTGGCCACTGGGGAATGTGCGATGAGCTGCGGGTTGTACCTGATGTACGATTGCAACTGTATCTCTTGCCACAGGAAGAGGGTGTCCAACGTGGCCGAGAAGAGGAAGAGAAACGCAAGGAGATCACCTCTCACTTTCAGGTCACTCTGAATGACATCCAGGTCCAGATGGAGCATCACAATGAGAGGAACTCATTACTGCGGCAGGAGAACATGGAGCTGGCTGAGAAACTGAAGAAACTGATTGAACAATACGAACTGAGGGAGGAGGTAGGGAGACAAGACAGTTACGAGCAGGAAATGTGTTCAGTCTCGAACTGTAGCTTCTTATCAGACTGTATGATCGAGGTTGCTTGGAAGTGAAAGGCTGAATTTCAGCTTATTGTTGTTTAGTATTATCTTAATCCTTTTTGATCATGATTTCGGTCACCTCCCTCTCCCCCGCCACTGTCAAGCGTTCCGGGACGCTACCTAGCGTGAAGGTTGCTACATCAATGCGGGTTGTTGTTGTTTAATAGACACAAGAACCATAATTCCTTTAAATTCAATCAATGAGAATACCTTTCCAGGGTTTTGAGGTGATGTGGGAAGCTAATGTGTGGTTAAATATCTTTTAACTGAAATTTCCATCCGTTTAATGTTGTCCTCGAACCTTCCCAATACAAAGGTTGTGCTGTAATTCGCTAATGTTTTAGCTTCTTAAAATGCAAATGAGAAACGGTTATTCTCTAGATCATCTCTTTCCAGTGTGTGTAATGTCCCGGGGAGCACAGTAACCACAAATTATTCTGCCTTCTCCCTGATCTGCTACGGTAACGTAAGGAAATGTCATTAAATCTAACTTTGCTACTCCACTATTCAAACCCCAGCTTGGCTTCCATCAGCTGATGTCTCCAGTAAACTGCAGCCTCGAAACTGTTCCCACCACAGATAGAATTAGCGAACAAAGGTTACAGGATACAAATCCTCTGCGTCCTGGTCAATGCAGGATACGAGTGGCCACTTTCAATTCCTTCAGTGTTTCTTTTGAGTTTTCTTTCCACGTCTTTCACCCTTTGTTTTAGGTGTTTGCTTTATGTAGAGACTTTCTCTTTTTCCCCTACTCCGGGCCCCTCCAGTTTGCAGGCTGTTGCCAGGATTCAGGATACACTGCTCGGACTCTTGCTGTAGAGCGAGAGGGAGTGGGAGGAAGTTGGGAGTTGGGGCTGTCTCAGATTCCAAAACAGAAAGAAGGCTGTAGTGAAAACTATATCCGCTGTCACTATAGCTAATGGAGTCTTTTAACTTGCACAGTGCAAGCTGGATAGCCCGTCCTCCTCAGAGCATTCTTTGTTGAGAGGGAGAGACACTGAGCAACTGTCGATGGCAGTCACAAAGGCATGTGATTTGGGAAAAATAATAATAATACTTGCATTTGATATTCCGCCTTCTCATGTCATCAAAACGGCTTAAAGTGCTTCACAGGATATACTGTAAAGTGGATTGACTCTGTATTTTTTGGGTGAAACCCAGCGGCCTGTTTGCGTGCAGCAGTGTTCCATAAACAGCCATGGAGTGAGCGACCAATTTTATTTGGGGGATTATTGGCCAGGACACTGGGAGGAACTCCCGTCTCTCTGAATAGTGCCACGGGATCTTTAACATCCACCTGAACAGGCGGACGGGACCTTGGATCTCATCCAAAGGACAACGCCTCCAGCACTGCATTGGGGCATCAGACTATGTGATTCCAAATCCCAACGTAGGGCTTGAACCCACAACCTTCTGGAGGCGAGAATGCTACCACTGAGCCGAGCTGACACACAGTAATAAATAAAAGCAATGCGATTCCAATCTGCCATTTAAAGAGCTGTTTGTAGTTAAGGCATTTACCCCAATAGTAATACCTTGAGCCCTGTGTTAGCTCAGAAAGAGGTGATTTGCTCTGTTGAGAGAGGGAAGTTTAAGTCTTGCATTGTTTAAGTAGTGCAGCGATTCCTATGTATGGGTGATAAATACTGTACTTAAACTGTGCAAATGATTGAATTAAGGAATCTGATTTATTGTTCATTTGGTGATCTATGTTTCCTTCACAGCACATCGATAAGATACTCAAACACAAGGACTTGCAACAAGAACTGGTTGATGCTAAACTCCAGCAAGCACAGGAGATGCTGAAAGACGCAGAGTTGAAACACCAGCGAGAAAAAGATTATGTAAGTTCTTGTCGGTATTCCAACGGAGCACTGAATCCCGGAGTTCTGAGCCAGGGTAGCTAACCTGTCCGGCCGGCCAGCTTTGTCAGAAGCACTTGAAGGGAAAGATCATTCACTGAGAGATAGATGGTGTTCTTCTCGCTCGGCTCCTATTGACCAAAGCTCTGACGGGATGTGAGATCCTAGTTGGCTAGTGGGAAGCTTTCCATTTAGATGTGGAACTTTGAGTTTGGTTTGGGTCTCTCACAGTAATGTGTTTCCACGTGTGGCAAAATCCCTGGCTGAAAGAATTACAGGCGGGTCATACTCATGGCAATCTCGAGGATAAGGGGTGGCAGTACAGCACCAGGGAAATGTATCCTTATTTAGTACCAGAGCCTAAATGAGTTTTGCTGCCAGATTCCTTTACTCCTGTCGATCGTATAGACAGTTTGATTGTGCACTGCTTTTACATGGCCATTACAGAGGAAGGTGTACAGTTTCCCAGTGCAACAAAAATCTGAACCAATTTTAAAATCTTGCCATTTGATCTTTTTGCCTCCGCTTTCACTATCAGCTATTGAAGGAGACGGTGGAGACTCAGAGAATGTGTGAACTGATGAAACAGCAAGAAGTTCATATGAAACAGCAGGTAATCTCAGCAAGAATATCCATAAAATCTTTATTTATTTATATTTTTTAAAAAGTATGTATTAAGTAGATATCAGTGGAACAGAGTTGAGATTTTGGAGCATATTACATTCACTTCTTTTAGTTTAGATCAGAGGTTACCTCGTTTAACTCTTTCTTGGTGTTATTGTGTAATAAAATAACCCATTGAATAATGGTCAGAAATGCCATCACTGGTCAGTCAGTGTGTACTCGTGCCCTGATGTCCCAAGTGGTGAGTGCAAAGGAGTTGGAGAAGATATTGGGTTGATGTTAATGGGTTTATTCTGCAACATCTCATTTAAAATGTCTTAAGGACATGAATATACACACAGAAACCAGCTACAGTGTATATGCTGCTCAGCAGTTCTTAATTGTTTTGGCTATTCCTATCGGTCGATTTGTTTTATATTTTTGCGATCTAAGGAGTGTGGAATTCCCCCCAAAATTGTTGTATTTTGTTGCAGCTGTCGCTATACACTGAAAAGTTTGAAGACTTTCAGAGCACACTTTCAAAAAGCAATGAAGTTTTTACAACTTTCAAACAAGAGATGGAAAAGGTAAGATGGTCATCTTGAAAACAGCGGTTTATTTGCTAATGGGATTTGAATCCCGAATGCTACCCCACATGAAGGGCGCTGTATAAATGCAAGTTGTCGTTGCATGATGAATGTTCAGAACTCGGCTGCGGGAATACGTTTGGTTTACTTTGGGAACTGAAGACGTTGGTGTTTTTATGGACCCGTTACATCGCCTGCTTCATGTCACTGGCGTATTAATCCTGTTGATTACACGGCCAATAATGCCTCTGAGCTCCACACAGTAAATAGAAGAGCTCCCTCTAGCGATAGAAATCGTGTGTGACTGCTGACTGATCGGGTAGGCTTCACAATGGTATGTTTATTCACTTTCCCTTTCTCTAATAAGATGGCGAAAAAGATCAAGAAGCTTGAGAAGGAGACGAGCATGTACCGCAGCAGATGGGAGAGCAGCAACAAGGCTTTGCTGGACATGGCAGAGGAGGTAAGTCGTCGCAGTCGAATCTGTTTCCTGTCATCCAAGATGTGAGATGTAAATATTTCTGCAATATCGGAGCTTAAAATCTATTGTACAGCTTTCCTATTTGTTTGTGTTATCTGACTTCTTGTAGCAATAACTCGCTGTTTTATTGATAGTACAGTTTTCTGTACAAAATACAGTCACTACGCTTTACAGTATGTTCTGTGAAGCGCTTTAAGATGTCTCAAAGACGTGATCAAGCCCTATCCCAAATGTATTATTATTGTTGTGCTATGTCTGTCTTTGCAGCTGTTATTTCCAGGAACTCAATTGTTTGTTTGTTTCTTAACCTAGAAAACTCTGCGTGACAAAGAATTTGAAAGCCTCCAGGTGAAGATCCAACGCTTGGAGAAGTTGTGTCGAGCTCTGCAGACTGAGAGAAATGATCTGAACAAAAGGGTCCATGACCTGGGCGTGCAGTTAGCCCAGCAAGCTGGAGACAACAAGCAGGACGGGAAGGCGGAGGAGGAGGGTGCACAGTCTCTGAACAAAGTCACTCAAGAGAATCCAAGTGAAGCTCCCAGTCCCACTGCCACAGAGCAGGCTGAGAGCCCAGCCCAAGAGACTTCACTGTCTTCTGAAGGTCCTGCCCAAATGGGAGAGCAGATTCTGTCGCCTGCATTTACAGAGGGTCAAGTGAGATCTGCTGAAGCTTCCAGCCCTCAACCCGAGTTATTGGTGCTAAAGAGCTCTGCGGAGTAGGCTAGCACACCGAGGGAAAAGTGCAGGAGGAAGGGTACAGCTGAATATTATGCTCCAGGGTGTCATGAATAAATGATGGAACTAGGGCTCAAATACCTACAATAATTGGGTTTGGGATGAAAGTATTATTTTAGTGGTTTGATAAATGGGTTCCCTTTAAGGCTTTGTGATGCGGAGTGGACATTTGAATACCTCTCTCTTGCCTCCAGGAGTGAGGTAACTAAGAATGAGTGGGGAAAGGTTGGGATGAATTGCATGTGACAAATATAGCTGTCAAAAGAAATCTGAGGGAAACTATCAATGGAAAACACGGACCAAAGGGGTCTTTAAAAAGACAGTCAGTCAGAATGTCTTGCTCTTTCTGATGATGTGTTGAAAGGCATGTTAATGCACTTTTCAAGTCAATATTGATTGAAGAGTCTTTTGTCCTGTTCTATATATGTTGCACTCTTCCTTTGTCACTCTTTGGGGCATGAATCGCTCGCTCAGTTTTCTTTCCAGTTCCTCTTGATCTCACTTTCCTATCCTAACTCCTGCAGCGTAAAAAGGTAGGTGATCTGCTTCAGCGTCTCTGCCTGTCTGTCTTTGAAGCCAGTTGCTGCAGAGCATGAGACAATGGCTTGGTAACGACATGTCCTCTCTGCTAGTTTGGGGGGTGGGAGAGGCTGTTCTGCAGTCAGTCCTCCACTCTATGCGCCATGTTTTCCTGCTCCAGTCGGCTTTGCAACCATCACAAGCAGCTCAGTACCGTGTACTTGATGTGTATGTGATCAGTCACTTTGTGGTGAGGTAAATGTCAGTGTTGACCACCAGATTGAACTGGCAGCCATGATTGTGTCCAAAAGGCCTTTGAGGGAATCTTTGTTGCTATCAAACCACCCTCATGCGTTGAGATAAAATAGCTAAATACAAGAATCTACCCTCTCCCCCTTTTTTTTCTCCCAAAAAAGACATTCCACTTGCCCTGTTTCCCTATTTATGGCTTCCTTTGAAATTCAATATTTCCTTTGTGTGGCATCTGAAGTGCAGATCATGCAGAGTATCTCTATTACACATCTCTGTATTCACACATATGTTATATAAATACATCTGATACATCTGTTGCCATTGCATGTTATTCCTGTTTGTGCTCCAGTTACCTAACATCCATTAAGCCATGAATGTTCTTGAACAAAGAGTCACATAAGCAGCACTTTTTCATAAATACCATCTTCACTCTGTTATGTAGTCTCAAGGGTTTTTTATTTGTCCCTCTCCCAGACTATACAGTGGTCAGAAAAGTTAGTGGCTATTCATTTGCTGTCCATGATATCAGGTACCAAAGAAGTGTTTCTGAAATCCCACTGCCATCTCTTGAACACTAAGTCCTTCAAGGATGTTATGAGATGGTTGTAAAATTCGTTCTCCCTTTTCCTTACTTATTCCCTCTCTCTCTTCGTGTCACTTGAAACACATTTTATTTTTGTCGCTATTTTCAACCTTGGTGATGTCCTGCACAAAGGGCCCATAGACCCTCACCTTGCTTCTCAGTAAAAAAAATCCATGGCATCTTAATAAAGTACAGTATCTTGGATAATCCAACCCAGTACTATACTGTTACCATATAGAACCTCTATATATTTCAGTTGTCTGATTATAGCTGTATTGAATTGTGTTATCTAACTTGTACAGTATAGCTTTTGCCATTTTTACTGATGTTTAGGGATTAATTTTAACATTGCAGTTCTTTATGAAGCCATCTTTTCTTTAAATGGACTGCTGGATTGTTTGCTGTTATTGTGTGACAGGGAATGCATTTCTTAAATAATTTTGAGGAATTTAAGGGCATTTAAAGCCCACGACAGCCTTTCTTTCTGTGGACTGACAGGACTAGATTTCCATTTTCTTACAATTACTGAGTTTAAAATGTTTCTAAGTCTTGTGTTTTTGAACAGAATAAGTCTCGACTCCAATGTCTAACCTCCTTTCTCCACCTGTTATCTTCCGACTGATGGGGTTTCCATAAACTATCAATTCAGTCGTCCCCTCCTCACCCAACAAATTCTCACCAGAAATAGTAGTTTTTCTCTCTTGTATTTGTCTGGGAAAATTGTTGCTATTAATTGAGAAACCAGTTGCTAAGTAACAAGGTGCAGTTGCTGACGTATGTTGTGTTGTGGGAACTGATTCCATTTTGGCTCCCAAATCGTTAGCCACGACTGTGATTGATTCATGTGTCTCTGTACTCTCCTCTCTCCAGCTGTACTCTGAGGTCAAGCTTGGTTCCTAAACACATTGTATAAAGAAATGTTGTTCATGTCTCAAAAGCTTAAGGAGTAATGGGACAAGGAAGAGGGAAAAAAACATTTCCAACCTTAACCTATAACCTTTACTTGGTTCCAGTATTGTAGTTTCTAACAATGAAAGTTTATTGAACTCAATGATTTGGTCCTAAGGGCACCATGTTAGCCATCAGAACATCACTGATTCTCGGTAGTTTGGGAGCTGTAATCGTAATTGGCTTTGGGTTCCTGGCCCTGATCATAACAGAAAATGCTAGACATTCCCAGCACCCGTAGAACTGTATTCCAAACTACATCACCACCAGAGATGTGTGTAACTGGGACTGGGCGCGTGGGGGGGGAGAAGAGGCTTAAATACCTGGACTAGACATAACCTGTACAAACTGCTAAATCATTGGACATGAAAGCGACCAACTGAATATACACTCTGGAAGAAGAAGCAACAATCCAGAGGAATTCCTTGTAAACTGACCAAATAATTTATATGCACAATGGGAATAAATAGTTGGGGACCAGAAATATAACAAACCTGAGCTGTGGTCTGTAACCAGCAAAGCTTCTGTTTTTTTTCCGCTGTGAATTGTATTCTTTTAAATATATTAGCACCTTTAGCAATTAGCTCTGTGTTGCGTGTGTTGTGATGCCTTGATTTAGTTTTAATATCACGTCCTCTCCTTCGTAAGTGTACAGAAAAGTCACCACCAGAATGTGTAACTAATGTTTACTTTGATCCAGAATGAAAACTGTTACCTCATCTGCAGAAAGGGAACATCTTCTTGTCTTGCAGCTACGGAAGAGATTTCATTCAGTTGGTGAGGGATACAGATCTTTGTATTTGTGAAAGCCTCGCGCAGTATCACAACAACTACACATTGACCAACGGCAGTCTCGCTTTGCCTTACATCCTATTCCTGCTTTGCGGAGAGGTGTGTCAAAGGCTCTTTAAAAATAGCTGTTAAACCTAGGTGCGAATCTTTGAGATGTTCTCCTTCCAGCAAGATTGTACGACGATGAGAGAAGCGTAGGCGATGGCAGGCTTTTCAGAGATTAATGGCAATATGATTGTATTTATGAATGTTCGCTGTTTACATTCCCAGCGTTTGGGCTGAAATGAGATCACCTTAAATTGTTACTGAAGTGCATTAATCACATTTGTATGTGTTTTCCTTAAAATATGTTCAAACTGTGTGAGCAGAAAAGTTACTGACTTACAGCCTGCCTTTATCTCGCTCATTATCACTGCTGCTTCAGCAAAATACATGCAGCTTCAGGCAGGGTTGGGAGAACTAGACTTGTTACCTTGGTTTGGTTTGGCCACTCTGGTTGTCAGTGTCTGGCCTGGGTAGACACATACCAGGCTCCTTGTTTCAATCATTTTGTAGGCTGTTTGCAAGATTGTGCTCCAAAACATGGGGGGGAAATCATCTCATCTTTTACAATGTGTGGATACTCTCCAGCGCGGGAAGTGCTTTTATTTGGAACCACATTAGCCACCATTGCACTTTTAACGAACGAACTTAAAATTGTGCAAAAAATTCCCAGTCGGCGACACGTTTGTGAACCAGCACGTGACCAAATGTGAGAGACACACTCATTTTCCTATACTTTTTTAAGACCATGACGGCTGCTGAATGATTGTCCATTAAACATGATTCATCCCAGGCTGCTGCTTTGAAATCATCCAATATCTCAAATGGCTATTTACATCCTCAATTACCTTCTCTGAACTCTGATGCCCAATGATTGCTATTGTGACACCTTAATGCCCAATGAGGCCAATGTCCACCTTGACTATCACACTCAGCAGTTAAGGACCATCAATTTGAGAAGCGCTTTTATTTTAAACCAAATTGAGAATTTGAGAGAAATTGGAAGCCGGATGATACAAAACATCCTGTAGTTGAATATTGCACTTTGGAATTTGATGAAGACCTCTTATCCATTTATAAATCGCCCTGAAACAGATTATTTCCACAATAATCACAAATAATCCAGAAAGCATTCCTGGTGTCACATCCCAGTCATCTTAAACAAAACATTGCATGTATTCACGATAGATTTAATTAGCCATTTATTGACATATTTTGTATAAGCCAGAAAATAATGGTGATGGTGGCAATTCACCTTTTTGTGATTCCTATTATCTTCTGATGAATTAATAACAATTCTAGTGATGGTCAACACTTGTAAAAGCTGTATCCATGTTTGGGTTGATTATATTTACAATGTTGAAGTTTTAAGCATATCTGTTATGGCACCAATTTATTATATTTTGAACTTTAATCTGTAAGGTGTGATGGCAAATAAAGATCACTCTTATCACAAGTTTAAAAAAAAATTATAATCTACATGCGATGGCAAGACGTGGCACAAATGTAATGCTTTTATATACGCACTCATTTTTGTTACAACCCTTTACATTTACCAAGAGAACCCGCAACCCATGTGCTCAGTATCACTATTGACCAATTTTTATGGAAGAATGCGCCCAACAGTAAGTTTCACAGTGTTTGCCCAAGATGCATCTCTGAATTTGCTATGACATTTGCTGGGCTATGGGGTAAGAGCAGGACTAGTTGGTAGCTCTTGCAAAGAACCGACATAGGAACGATGGGCCGAATGGCCTCCTTCTGTACAGTAAGATTCTATGATACATGCAACCACTTCCTTATCTCTTTTTCCTACCCCCACTTGCTTCGGCAAATGTGGCTTTGCTCTATTAGTGGCTGAGCCTTCAGCAACGACAGCCCCCACTCTGGAACTTCCTCCACCCTTTGTCTCACCCCTTTCTGACTTTAAATCCCACCCAAAACATAACCACTCCTGCAATCATTTCTTCATCCTCTCTCCCTGCCCCCCCCCCCCTTTCTCGACACTCTGGAGGTACGTCCCTCCACCTTATTCTGGAGTGTTAGGTTCAGGGACTCAAGTGGGTGTTGGGATAACTGCTGGAGTTTAAACGGGTAAAAGCACAGAGCACAGTGAGAGTGTTGTGTGGTGAGCTTCCTGCTTGTCCACGCAGGACCAGCCTATCTTTTCAGCCTTTGGTTTACAGGGTTAACCGGAACCAACTTAATCCTCCGGCGCAGTTCCCCCGGAGAGTGTAATCACATACACCCTCACCCGACAGATGTACAGCAGGAACTCCGTGTGCAGTTCCTAGTGAGCAGCACAGCTCATCAATACAATGGGTTAATCCACGCAATGCGATAGTTTAATAATAAGTCTCCCAGTCGTTCAACGAAGGATATGTGCAAGAATGAGACAGCGACGGACATGGGGCAGAGATAATAAAGTGGTCACTCAGCCCACGGCTGTGTGTGGGGACAGTGCTGTGCGCAATCGGCCGCCGCGTTTCACCCACAAAATACACAAAGTCAATTCCCTTTACAGTGTGTCCTGTGACGCGCTTTGAGACGTCTCGAAGACGTGATGGGGCTCCGTCTCCGATGCGGGGATTACCAGATCAGCCGATGCTCTCCCCACCCCCCTCCCCCCCCGCCCCCCAGCCAAACAGAGTAACAGAACGGGCTCTGGGGGCTGAATGGCCTCCTCCTGTTCCTATGTGACAGGAAGTGATGGGGGAACGGGACGAGGCGTTCCTCTCTCGGGTGTAAGGTGTGTGTCGCGGACGGGCGGTCGGACCGCGGCTTTAATACCCTATAAAACACCGCGGACTCGCGCTGAGCCTCTGCATCGCGGGGTATCCCAGTGAGTACCACCTGCACACACGAGCGGACAGTCACTACACTGCTGTGTGAGAGCTCTCTCTCTGTCTCTCTCCCCATCCACAGGTACAGATTAAAAGGCCGAACCCCCGGACAGCGGTTGTCGAGAAATTCTGACGATTGTATTGGAAGTCACGAACGTATCTTCTAATCTTTTCCCCCAAAAAAGTTCAGTTTTGTTGCAGTGTTGAGAAATAAAGGCAATAAAGGATTTACTTCCCTTCTCTCTCTCTCTCTCTCTCTCTGGGGTTTGTTTGTTTTTGGGGGGTTGGGGGGGGGTTTAAAGCGTTAACTGGAACGAATATGATGGAGAGAGAGAGAGAGGGAGAAAGAGAAAAGAAACCGCAGATTATTTGGGTGCGGAGTGTCAGTGAGTTGTGTGTCTGTTTTCTGTGATGTTACAGACGGGGCCTAAACACTGTCTGTGTTGTGGGTCAACGAGTTCCAGAAAACTACTGAGGATTATCCAACAATTGGATGGTTTCCCTCCTTTTTTGTTTTAACATTTTGCATTTATGTGTAAAATGGGAGTCCTGTACTGTAAATGTCCTTAACCCACACCCCCCCCCACACCCCCCCACCCCCACACACACACCCCACACCACACCCCCCACCACACCCCCCACACACACACCCCCACCCACCCCACACCCCCACACACCCCCACCCCACACACACACTCCCCCCCACACACCCACACACACCCACCCCCCCCACACACACCCCACCCCACACACACCCACCCCCCCACACACACCCACCCCCCCACACACACACCCACCCACCCCCACACACACCCACCCCCCCCACACACACCCACCCCCCCACACACACCCACCCACCCCCCCCCCACACACACACACACCCCACACACCACCCCCCCACACACACCACACATCCACACACACCCCCACACACACCTGTTGAGAAGTAATAATAATTCTTGCACTTGATATAGCGCTTTATCACATTGTTGAAATGTCTCAAAGCGCTGCACAGAATACACACTGTAACCCAGTCATTACTGTACGGTATCCTGTGGGGCCATACGTGGCAGCCATCCACTTATGCCCTTGATCTTTTTAATCCACGGTGGGCGCAGCTTTGAAGACCTCCCCGACAATGGAAGAGAAGAAAAAGAAACGGAGCCCAAAGGTGACGCTGAGCCAGCAGGTCTCACTCAGCAACAACCCCAGGAAGTGCACGGTGCCCGCCAGTAAGAGCACCACCTTCTCCACCTGTCTGCCTCAGCCTCCGTCCCCAAAACAACGGTCAAAGCTAAAAAGGTCTGAGTCAAGTCAAATCCATCCCGCAGTCACTCCGCCTCGTCGTCTCCCTCGCCTCCTTCAAGACCCGTCTTAAGACCCTCCTCTTCGACCGTGCCTTCGATCACTCTCCTACCCCTACCATCCCCGCCGTCCTGATCCCAATGTGAAAGGGGCTGTACACACGTGATTTGTTGTCTCTTGAACACATACTGGTCTATAATCTTTGCTTGATTGTGCTCCATAATAATAATAATCCTTGCATTTGATATAAAACCTTATCATGTCTTCGAGACGTCTCAAAACGCTTCACAGAATATATTGTAAAGTGTGCTAACTGTGTTTTGTGGGTGAAACGCAGCAGCCAAACTGCATATAGGAGTGTCACACAAAGAGGTGGGTTGAGTGACCAAATTATTAATTTGTGTTGTGCTATTTCATAGGCAAACACTTTAATGAAGGAAACGGTGAAACTTGGCTTTGCTTTTATTCAGAAAAGTTGATTTTTAAATCAAATTGATGAGAGACAGTTTTACTTTTTTGTAATGCCTGCAATTTGATTAACAACAGGGCCAATAAAGAGAAAGCCAAACTGCCACAAGCAACTGGGAAAGCCACGCAGTCAACTCCGATCCAGCACTCGTTCCTGACCGATGTCTCTGACGTGCGGGAGATGGAAGGTGGATTGCTGAACCTGTTGAATGATTTCCACTCCGGGAAACTGCAGGCTTTCGGTGAGTACCAGGACCTCAGCAACCCGAGGTGACTTCAGGAAAGTTTAGCTGTGCAACCGTGTACATCAGTGGCCTGGCGTTCGAATATGTACTGTGACAAAGACGATACTGCCATGGTTGAACAGTTATTGTTGTGGAGTCCTGTAACGTGGTGGTTAGCCAGTTCGCCTCGCAAGCAAGAGGACGCGGATCCTCAACATACATAAGTCAATACACTTTACAATATATTCTATTAAGCGCTTTGAGACGTCTTGAAGACGCGATAAGGCTTTATATCAAATGCAAGGATTATTATTATTATTCAGTCTCTCTTCCCCAGCCCCCGCCCTCCAGACAAAATGCACATAGTGAGATTGCTCCCCTCTCCTCAGGGAAAGAATGTTCCTTTGAACAAATGGAACACGTACGAGAGATGCAGGAGAAACTGGCGCGTCTACACTTCAGCCTCGACAGCCATGTGGAAGAGCTTTCTGAGGATCAGAAAAAAAACGCATCCGACAGGAATCTCGAGCAGCTTCTGACTAACGTGAGTTGCAGAGCGAGTGCCTGTTAAATATGTTTTGACGATTATGTACCTAGATGGACTAATTAACATGTGTCTATTTGGACTTCACTTTGCAGTTGGAGGAGCTTAGCACCTCGATGTATCCTTTCCAAACGTTCCTTGTGAATAACCTGGTTTTTATTTTGTTCAGTCATTTATGTACACGGGGAGCTCGCTTGTGCAACCAGCTTGTTGGGGGTGTGAATCGCACTTGTGATAACAATGATTGTGAAACGCTAGTGTGCGCAATTGGCTTCCGCAATTCGCCCACAAAGTATACAGTCAATTCACTATACAGTATAGTCTGTGAAGCGCTTTGGGATGTCTCAAAGACGTGATAAGACGCTACATCAAATGCAAAGATTATTATTATTACAGGGGAGGGAACGAGGTACAAACGTACGGTTACGATCCTTAAATGCAATTCAGTCAAAAGCTTCACTTGGCAGAAAACCAGGATTTGCCCAAACCGCCTGCCACTTAGAGTGCAATCAGTTGGGAGCCTTGGGCAAACAGAGAGACAACATAGACCTCAACACACAAGGACATGGCTGCTCGACTGAGGAACAGAGGATGATGGACAGAAACCTCTCAAGGCTTGAGGACCAAGTTGGGGAAGTGGGCCTTGGTGTAAAAGCTAAAATCTAATCAATAAGGAATCCTTTTTTAACACAAGCATGACTTTGGGGTGTGTTGGGGGGAGGGAGGTTAACATTTGGTTGTATTTCTATGGATCGAACACTCTTGCACCTTTAGGTAGACTGACTGAAACTTAACAATGTTTTGAAGAGAGTCATTGAAAGGGTGTTTAACTGGTGCAAAGGGCATGGGTTAAAACTTATTTTATGTTCCTTTCCCCTCACGTTATGAACAAATGATTTGACCCACAATTATGCTTACAAATAGGCAACCTGTACAATTGTTAAGACTATACTTTTCAGTTTCTTTTGATGATAAAATTGTTGGTTGGAAGGTTATGTTTCCCTACCAAACACAACAGGGTAATGATTCTGAAGATTCATTTCAGAATCACTTGGCCGCTTGTGTCGTGCCGCAAATGAACAAGGAAAAGTTGCTCAAGAGAATGTTGCAGATATACTTGGAAGTGGAAGTTTGTATCAGCAAGACTGTAAGATATAATCAACTGCTGTGTGGTCACATCTTGTCACTGTCGTAATCCGTTTATATTTTTTGGGGGGGTTTCACAGATTCTGGAACCTTTGCTAAAATACTTAAGATTTTCTGGTACTATTTGTATTGTGTTGGAGCCGGGAACAAAGCCAATGCACACAGACTAAGATGTAGGGTGATTAAGAAATATACGGGCTTTATCACGTCTCGAAGACATGATAAGGCGGTTTATCAAATGCCAGCATAATTATTATTTGATCCAGGGAAGCCACTGTTTTATTACTTGCTAACCTCACCCCAGAGTTAACACTTTTGAGCACTGCTTGAGGATTTCAGCAGTTTGAAATCCTGTATGAATATAGGAACAGAATTTCTCTTCTTCCGATGCTGCGAGTCAGTGATGGATTAGTTGGAGATCATTTTTAAGAAGGTATTTTTTGATAGAATAATGAACTAAATCACTCTCATCATCAGAAGGATAAAATAAATAGCTTTGTTAACTGAACAACACATTAGTTCATGGTAGAGAACAAGATCAATCAAGTTGACGGTGAACTGACTCCAAACTGAAGTTATAGAAGCCTGTCGTTTGTAGTTGGAAGGAAAGAAAAAACATTGCAGGGCTATGGGGTAAGAGCAGGGGAGTGAGACTAGTTGGATAGCTGTTTTAAAGAGCACGATGGGCTGAATGGCCTCCTTCTGCGTTGTAGGATTCTATGACTATAAAAACTGCATGGAAGGTAAGGAGTTGCACAAATTCTGAGGTGCAGGAAAAAAGTGAGTCAGAGTAGACAAAAGACATTGTGACAACATGTGAAAAAAAAAGACTGCTTTGCACTCCATTTCACTGGGTTAAATGCAAAACTTAATACAAAGGAAAAGCAAAAGTCTCAGGACACACAAGTCTTTAATCAAAAAAAACTGTTACCGCTTAAAACAACAGAGCACAAACACTGAACCTCAACATCCTCACCAGCAGCTGAAGACTATTTGTTTCTTTATACTGCGCTGAAATGTTAACATTTTCTACCAAGAACACTTAAGATGATATCTGGAGATTTTAAACTAACAACGGCTTTTTACCGGTGTCTGAAGCTTATTTTTTTGGAACTTAAATGCGTCAAATGTTTGCGGTGCTTAAATAAACACAATCCTTATAAAGCGCTGTCGTTTTTTTTCTCTCTTCTCTCCTTCTTTGTATATCCCCTCGAAACCTCCCCCCCCCCCCCAATAATTTGGTCGCTCAGTCCAGGGCTGTTTGTGGGCACTCCGCGGCCTGCGTTTCGCCTCCAAAATACACAGTCACTACACTCCGCAGTGTATCCTGCGAAGCGCTTTCGGGACGGCTCGACGATGCGACGAGGCGCTGTTATTCGATCGCGAGGATCGTTGCTGCTATGTTTGCGGCGCGAGGGGTTGCGGAGAGGGATGCAACCTTTGCTGATGCTAATCCACTCTGTATCTGCTGCTCCATCTCTCTCTCTCTCTCCATCTCTCTCCATCTGTCTGTCTTCAGCATCAGCATCAAAATGGCGGTTCCCACAGCGACTTCGAGGGAGGAGGTCACCGGCATGTGACCAGGACGCCGGCACGTGACCAGGGCGCCGCCGCTCGCTCGGCTTTGGCGTGGGGTCGAGAGCCCCGCCCCACCGCCTGCCCCCCCCCCCCCCTCACTTGCTCCTCCTCCTCCTCCTCCGGCCCCCAGAATGCAGCTGCGTCGGTTGGCGCCAAAGGTGAAGCGCATGCGCGGGCGGGTTGGCGGCGTCTCTTGTCAGACAAAGGCGGGGGGGAAACCGGAGAGACGGGGAGAGCGGTGTGTGTGTGCGCGCGCGTGTGTGTGAGGGCAGAGACGTGAGCGGCTGAAAAGGCGCCGCTCCTCATTATACGCAGAGAGAGAAAAACATATACACGTACGCACTCATATATATATATATATATACACACACACACAGACTCGCTCACCAGTTCTCCGGCCGCAGGCATGACGGACAAAGAAGGTAATTAGTAAACACAAAATGGATGGTGTGCTGATGATGATGATGGTGGTGGTGGGGGGGAGGCGGTCGGTCGGTCTCCTCACGGCGCAGTGTGGAGGCCTGTGGCCTGGCGGTGGCGGTGGCGGCGGTGCCGCCGCGAGCGCCTCGACTGACTGACTGACTGACTTGACAGCCTCGCGCTCCGCTCCGCGCCGCCCTCACTGCGCCTGCGTGTCCCCCCCCGCGCGCGCCTGTGTGTGTGTGTGTGTGTGTCGCGCGCCTTATTTTTCTGGATTGCAAACCTTTTATATTGTTCCGAACCGTATTGTTATTGATCCCCTCTCTCTCTCTCTCTCTATCATCGCAATGGCGGGTAAACCCTGGGGTGAGGGGTGAAGGGGGGAATGAATGAGGGAGAAGAGAAAGAGAGAGAGAGAGAGAGAGAAGCTGCATTTGGACAATTCCCTTCCCCACCCCCTCCTTCATCATCTTCCTCCTCCTCACACTCTTCCCCCCCCCCCCCCCCCCCCCCCCAGCACGGCGGGTAAACCCTGGGGAGGGAGGGAGGGAGAGAGGGAAGGAAGGAAGGAATGAGAGAGAAGGGGAGATGGAGGGAGGAAGCTGCGTTTAAATAGTTCCCTCCTCACCGGTTTTACTTTCGATGGAGATTTATTTGGGGTGGGGGGGGGGAGGCAACGAGTGTAATTATTATTATTGTGATTATATATATATATATGTGTGTGTGTGTGTGTGTATATACTGTGTACAATGTGCCATTGAATAAGCCACCCCCGAGCTGTGGGAGCTCCCTCTCCCGCCATTTCGCAGTTGTCAGTGTTGTTATTATTATTATTATTATTATTATTGCGGGTGGTCAATGCCTCTCTCGGTTGGCGAATGAATGCACAAGGTTCCTTGTTGCTTTTTTTATGGTTGATACATATATATATATGTGTGTGTGTGTGTGTGTGTTAGCTTCCCAGTCAAATATATATAGTTATATATATGTATGTGTGTGTATATTTAACCATCATGTTTCTTTACAAAATAACGAGAGGGGGTTGGTGGTTGGGGGGGGCGGGGGCGAAAGAGAGAGGAGGGATCAGCATCACCCACCTTCACTCTGCCAAATTGTTGACCCGGTGATACCAAAGATGGGCAGGATCGCTTTCCCACGGCAATAAAAATTCCCCCCCAAAACAAGAAGAATTTGGTCGCTTCAATCCACGGCTGTTTGTGGGGACACCTCTGTGCGCAATTGGCCGCCGCGTTTCACCCACAAATATACAGTCAATTCACTTTACAGTATTGTCTGTGTAGCGCTTTGAGATGTCTCAACGACATAACAAGGTGCTATGTCAAATGCAGGGCTTATTATTATTATTATAGGCTTCCCTCCGCTCTGTTTTGGTACTGTAGTGACCGATGTTTACCATTGATGTCTGGACAGGTGCTTGAAATGTTATGTGCATAGAAGGAAAGTGGGCAGTTTTGCACTGTCAGTTTTGCAAACCGTGACATTTTAATTCCAACTAATTTTTTGTAGTATTGTCCCGATTAATGTCTGCAGTTGGTACACAGTGAGAGTATATTACTTTTTTAAAAAACAATAGGAAACAAAACTCGGGTCAATTGGGGCTGACAAGACCCTTCTATTGAGAAATGTTTTCATTAATTTTGTATTATTTGGGTTATCTTCAGTGTTTTTAAAATTTCTTTCATTTCCTTGGAGGAAAACATAATCATTTCCTTCAAACCTGTGTTTAGTAACAAGTAGATATTTGCCGCCTTCTCTAGTTCCCTACCATACTGTGCCTTTGACTCAAAGCCTTGTCATTAATGGCCTGAAATTCCACCTTGTTTCAGCCTGTGAGACCATTTTGTCTTCAAATTGCAATTGTGATGGTTTGCGTAATCTTAGTTTGACAGCAGAAAAATTGGTTCTAACTTAAGCGTGAGTCCCGGAATCTTAAAATTCTATGCAATCTTGCATTTTAAGATCAAATTCAAATATATTGCAGGCTATAACGGTGAAACTTACGGTCTTACGTATTTTGATGAGTACAGTTTGGGAATGTTTTAAAAATAATAAAAATAGCAATGTAGTCAGTAATCCAGGATTGTTTGAATGTTGTCTTTTTAAAAAAAACTATTTGTAATCTAGTTTGAGTGCATGAGTCACACGACTGTTTTATAATTCAATTTTACAGTGTTTAATACCCCAAATTAGTACTTAAGATTTTTTTGACAAAAGAAATAAAACTGGTTTCTCCCCTCGTATCACATTTTTTTCTGATCTGTGTTTTCTCAGTTGGGAGGGTGACACGATGGTGCCAGTGTCAACCTCCGATCGTCAGTCAGCTGTGAAAAGGAGGTTGAACAATGTTGGAAGGAACCCTATTTCAGCCCATTTTCTTTTTTTCCTCGCTCTCCCAATGATTTAATTGAGACTGATGCATTTTAGTTTCTGCTGTAAAACACAAGGACAAGCCTGAGCGCGAATATTGGTCTTGACTGACGTTCAAATTCGGGTCTCCTGGTTGACAGTTTAATGCTCCAGCTGTAGCTACTGGGACACAAATATAACACTTCATTTTAAGGGGATGTGGAAAAAACAATTACATTGTAAATATATAATGTATGCAAGGTACCCTGCCCTGTATGTTCTGTAAATTATATCCCTGTAAACTGCATGTTCTTATGTCCGAATGTTCAGATTATTTTTCTTTAATTTCGCACCTCTAGCGTCAGATGCCCATTATGATGTTACACCTGTGACGTCACACACCCACTGTGCTTCATTACTGACGGCCGCCTCACCTGTGCAGTCCACTCATCTCGACACGACGCCAGCCATTTGTCATGAATGGAAACGAGGAAAAAAAAGTACCTTGTATATATTATACAACATAACGTATGGAAAGGAGATGAATTTGAGGCATGCGTGGGGCCTGGCATTACATTTTTGGCCCTAATATATGCACCAGTGGTGAATACATTAAGTGCACAGATTAGCTCTAAACCAACCAGAGCCAAAATAAATGTCTGTAATTCAACTGATGCCATTGGTTATTCTGTGTTAGCATAAAATCTAGCAACGGTGCAACAAGAGTATAGTTAAAAGATGTTTAGTATTGTGTAATGCTTGTAACTATATTATACATCTCCCCTTAAAATTAAGTATTGCCATATAAACTCATACGGCCCATTCCTTTAGACTTTATGCAAGTAATTGGAGCAACAGGAACAAGAAAAGTATGCTGTTTAAAGATGCAATGTCCAGAGTGATGGAAATTTAACTTTCACTGAGGAGCAAAATTGTAGTTTTAAAATAAAAATGTTTACAGTAATGAATTAGGTTTATCAGTTAATTCCATCACAATGTTATAACAAAGGGGCAATGGGGAGAGGGAGGAAGAAAAAGAAATGGGCTCCCAGAACCTGTTGATAGATGCATATACTGGGTTACAAATATTTGCCCCCATGAATATAAAATGCTGCACATAAGAACAATCTGCAACTGAATGTTTTTTGCTTTACATTTGTGTATTTTGCTAATTGCGAGTTGTACATTCGCAGCAGCCTTTGATGATGCTGTGGAAGAGCGTGTTATTAATGAAGAATACAAGATCTGGAAGAAGAATACCCCTTTCCTGTATGACTTGGTTATGACCCATGCCCTGGAGTGGCCTAGTCTGACCGCCCAGTGGTTACCTGACGTTTCAAGGTATGAATGTGATTTATAGACAAATTGCAATTATAATGAATGAATAAATAAATGCTACATTTGTCACTCAACAACAACTTGCATTTATATTGCGCGCCTCGCGCAGGGTAGACTCTTGGAGCGCTTGACTGTTGGGGAGCACATCACTGTCGTTCAAGTTCGGCCACATAGATTAGAATGTACTGTATAGGTTTGCATGTTAGTTTCGCCCACAAAATTAAATTCACTCTACAGTGTATTCTGTGAAGTGCTTTTGAGACGTCTCGAAGACGTGATCAGGCGCTATATCAGATGCAAGGATTATTATTATAAAAGGATCAAAAGGTGCCTCTCCCAATTTTAAGTTTTATTTGGACCAATTTGATTTGTTCTTGAAGGTGCTGACTCACACTGGGTTATGGCTCCATAGTCCTTTTTGGTGTTCATATCAAGTTAGAAAGTCAGGGCAGTTGAGGTCTCCTTTTAGTAACTGCCAACATAGTATAACTTTAGGCATTGGGTTCACATCACGGGAAAGGTATGGCGGTAGTATAGCAGATTAACAACTATGTCCTTTTAGCGTCTGATATCTGATTTTGAATCTCAATTTATAAATTAATTGTTTTGTCAGCATATTTCTGAATTATGGAGGATGTTTCCTATGTATTCTAGGTGATTTTTGATGCTTCTCTGCGTGCAGAGAAAGTAGCTCAAGATGAGGAATAGTGGTACCAGACTGTTTTGCAATGTTGTCTTCTGTTCTATTGATTAGTATGTTTGTAGGCATTGAAATTTAGGTATTCTAATGTTCACAAATCATTAGTAACATGATATCAATGATCTACAGGCCAGAGGGGAAGGATTATAGTGTTCACAGACTAGTATTGGGAACCCATACATCTGATGAACAAAATCATCTGGTCATTGCCAGTGTTCAGCTACCAAACGACGATGCTCAATTTGATGCTTCACACTATGATAGTGAGAAGGGAGGTAAGATTAAACACTTTTTTTTTGAAATGTAGAGTATTTCACTTTATACAATATATCAGAATTTTACACCTGTTACTTGTTGGATGCCAAGTTTACAAATAGTTGACTTCTATGGATGAACTTTTTAAAAATTCTGCTTACGTTTAACTGATGAATACATCCTTCTCCATGTCATCTGTAAACAGTTATAATAAGAGTCGGGAACCTATGTCAAACTTCATTGAAGGTCTTTGTTAACTTAAGATGCCTTATTTATTGTGTTTCCTATCAATAGAAGATACAAAACACATGTTGCACTGAACCGAGAGAATGTTTATGAGGAAGTTCTTTGTAGTAGTTGCCATAAACGAGATGTTTTGCAATATTCAGTGAGCATTTGCAACAGTGTTTTAACTATGCAAAGTTGGTATTTACATTTTGTAACCTGTCAATCTTCAGAGAACAGGAAGGTTTTTGCTGTAATGAGATTTTCTTCTAAAAAATTAATGAAACATTTTTGAATAGCTTCATGTTTTAATACATTTTTAAGAATATATAATGCTCAAAAAATCTACTGGAGAGTCAGAATTTGTAATTAGCTTGGTGGCTGTTTACATTGGTGTCTAGCAGATATTTTAATGTGGTGGGTGAGCAGAGTAGCTGACTTTAGGCCTCAGTGAGTTGTTTATAGTTTCAACCAGAAAATTGTAATTTGGTAAGTTATATTTTTGCCCCGCGATTAAATGCATTCTATTTCTGTTCCAGAATTCGGTGGTTTTGGTTCAGTTAGTGGAAAAATCGAGATTGAAATCAAAATAAACCATGAAGGGGAAGTAAATCGTGCTCGTTACATGCCTCAGAATCCTTGCATTATCGCTACCAAGACGCCATCCAGTGATGTGTTGGTCTTTGATTATACCAAGCATCCATCCAAACCAGGTAAGCAATGTAAACATTGTAGACTAATCCACCACGGAAACGCATTCAGAATTAGTCATACGGGGGCCTCATATTTGTGACTATTTTTGTGACGTATTTTAAAAAGTTGACTGCAGATCACCGACAAGAAGGCGAGTGTTGGTGTAGTCAAAGCTGGGCGAAGTACGGCTGAAGCTTATTGGTGTAAAGGTGTTGCATACTGAAGTACTTGCGGTCTGCCATTTACCCATTGGCTTAAGGCGAGCTGCATTAACAACTAGCTCACCAAATTCTTGTGTCAATTTGTACCGTGTTCTTCAGAAAAATTTCATCAATTAACAATTTAGCAATGTCTTCCAGAGGTGGGTTACACACTGATAAAATGTTCTTTTTGTCGGGGGGGGGACACACAACTTAAATTTTCTAATTTTAGCAAAAAGCTAATTTTGCTTTTCAACTGCACAGATCCCTCTGGTGAGTGCAATCCCGATCTTCGTCTACGTGGCCATCAGAAGGAAGGATATGGACTCTCATGGAATCCCAACCTTAGTGGCCATCTACTCAGTGCTTCGGATGATCATGTAAGTACTGTTTTCAAACCATGAATGTTTTGATGTGCAGGTTCAGAATACTCTGAAACTAATTAATAATAATAATAATCCTTGCATTTGATATAGCTCTTTTCACATCTTCTAGATGTCTCAAAGCGCTTCACAGAATATACTGTAAAGTGAATTGATCGTATATTTGTGGGCGAAACGCGGCAGCCAATTGCGCACAGCAATGTCCCACAAACAGTCGTGGATTGAAAATGACCAATTTATTATTGTTTTTTGTTTTGGAGGGATTATTATTAGGCTCTGTGTGGAGTGAGGAAACTTGCCCAAGGTTTCGCCCTGTCTCACTTGCATGGCGAGTGCTCTAACCACTGAACTACAGGATTCCGATTGCACTTGACTATAAAATAAACTAGGCTCAGAAAGTGATGCATTTGCCTTCATTGCAACAAATAGCAATACATGTTGAAACATATTGTGATTTCATATTTCTGGATCCAAATGAACCATTTAATACAAGGAGGTTCATGTGTGAAGTTTGCTTCAGAGCTCTTAAATATAAGTTGTAATCATTTGATGTGTTGGGAATGATCATTCTCCTGGGATCATCTCTATGGGGAAAAATTCTCTTATAATTATTACTTGAGTGTTTCCAGAAAATTCTCAGCTGTATCACTTAACTTAACTACTTCCTTCTCAGACTATCTGTCTCTGGGATATCAGTGCTGTTCCAAAAGAAGGAAAAATAGTTGACGCGAAGACTATCTTTACTGGTCACACCGCAGTGGTGGAGGATGTGTCGTGGCATCTGTTGCATGAATCTCTGTTCGGCTCTGTAGCAGATGATCAGAAACTGATGATGTAAGTTAATGGATTTTCCCCATCTTTAAAGTAAAAGCTTTAGAGATTTTTGATGACTTGGGTGGAGATACAGTAGAAAGGTCGGGTGAAAGTGTAGGCTGTGTTGAAATGTTCTGAGAGCTAGTTATTGAAAGAATGTTTTTAATACAGTTCAAATACAGCTAACCAGCACTTGATAAACCAAAAAATAAGAAGTCATTTTTTAAAAAAAAAACTGCAAATCTGAAATAAAAGCAGGAAATGAACAACAGTTCAATCAGCGTCTGAAAGAGATAAGTTAGCATTTTGGTATGATCCTTTATCAAGATCCACCTGGAACATTCTAAGAATAAGAATAATCCTTAAATTTTGTGTAGTTTATCACATTTTGGTGTAGTGGTGATTGGTCTTTTGTGCACTTCCAGCATTTTAGTTTGTAACATGGTGATGTGTGGAGCAAATGACACCCCAGTGCCAGCTCTTCTGATCTTTGTGCACTCCACCCGCCAGGTTGAGTTTTTGTGAGAGGAATATTCAGATTGGATGTTGTTGGCTGCACCGTGTTATACAATAACAACTTGCATTTTTATGTGGTACCTCGGGCACTTATATGACCTAATAAATTAAGTCGGAGTGGGCTTAGGCTTCGCTGTGATACTGCTACTGAAAGAGTAATGTATCAGTATTTGCTGTTTAGGGTTTTACAGAGTGGTTTCTTATGGTTTCTTGAATGAAGTACCAGTGGGTGGGCTGTGCAAATGGAACTACCATGTATTTTCGCTTGTGTTTTAAATTGTTTTCCATGCTCTTTGCTTTCAATTGGAATTCATCTCTTGTATTTCTTTAGCTGGGATACCAGATCTAACAATACATCTAAACCAAGTCACTCAGTGGATGCACATACAGCAGAAGTGAACTGCCTGTCCTTCAACCCCTACAGTGAATTTATCCTAGCCACAGGCTCTGCAGATAAGGTGAGGCACCTTAATTCTGAACTGGAGTTTTTCTTTCAGAACTGATATTCTGGAGGCGAGTTTAAAGGGCTGCAATTCAGTTTTGTGACCGACATATATAAAACACTTTTCTTGTACATCTGTGGCGTGACCTCATTGGAACTCTTGATTTGTTTGCTCTTTGTAATTTCCCCAACACTGTTATCTTGTGTCGTCATAGTTTCAACCACAATTTAAGCACTTCCTCCTCTTGAAAAACACCGTCTTCCTGACTTTGATGTGGCGGGAACATCAATCTTGTACATTGCCTGGTAGTTTTAAGTACGGTGCTAATTATTTAAACGCTTATTTACTTTGAAGAGTAAGAGCTAAAACTACATTGTTAAGAGTACAATTGAGTGGAAAAATGCAAAGCAATGATAGGAATCAACACAGACTGTCTTTTTCAGACTGTTGCTTTGTGGGACTTGCGGAACCTGAAACTGAAGTTACACTCTTTTGAATCACACAAGGATGAGATCTTTCAGGTATGAGTTCTCTGTAGCTAAAATGAAAATGTCACCCTGATGCATATTGTTGGGGGAGCTTGTTTTCTAACTGTGTTGGTGTGGTTTGCCGATACTGATCAGTGGAAATTACCTTAAAGATTAAGAGCTGAAAACTAAAGGTCTTACCATTAAAACCTGTAAAACTTGGAATTCAACCTGTCTTTCAAGGATGTGCTTTTCCTGCCTCAATTACAGCACAGAGAAATAAATTAAAATCTGATTTCGCTTAGGCTGTGTCTTCAGGCTGCTGTAAATTCTAGGTGGGCTTCTGATCCTGACTTCATAGTGGTTTTGTAATGATACTGTTCAAGCTTCCTGATTTTCTTTTTAAAAAAAGTCAATATGATTTTGATACCATCAGGTTCAGTGGTCACCTCACAATGAAACTATATTGGCATCAAGTGGAACAGATCGCAGACTGAACGTGTGGGATCTGAGGTAAGGATATCTGATTTGACTTCAGTCTCGGCTCTATATAAATACAAGTTATTGTCATGTTAAGGAAAGAATGCACAACTTGGAGGATATGAATTCAATCTCTTGAGCCCAAATCTCATACTCCATTTTACTGGCACACCTTTGAAAAATGGTATCCATTCTGGAATAGAAGCCTCACTTGCCAATGATCTATTCAGTGTGTCAAGATCACAGCATTGCAGGTTTCCTGTCTTTGCTGTTATGAGCTGGAGTGGGGGTTGAGAAAGCCCTGGGTTGTGGAGAGGCAATGTGGCTGTTTGGGCAAGCTGCTGGGGTGGGGAACAGCACAGCCGTAATTGGGCAAAGTCAAATTTCCTTCAGGAGTCGGACAAACATTGGTGTAATGCGTCTCGTCTGGATTCAAAATATGGAATTTTTTTCCCCTTAGTGCTGGAGCTGCGTCCCTGATTTGCCCATTATAAGCCATTCAAATATCATTCTTAAACTATTTTAAAAAAACATATGTTTTTATTCAAAGGGGCCAGGGTAGAATGTTCTTTATGCAACTTGAATTGTTCTTGTCAACTTAAATTGATTTGAGTTTCTTATTTTCCTTTTTCTTAGTAAAATTGGAGAGGAGCAGTCGCCTGAAGATGCAGAGGATGGTCCTCCAGAGCTACTGGTAAGTGCTGACTGTACATAACTTATCATTCTTGGCTAGTTTTATTCTTCCTAGTTTGATTCTCTCCCCTCTCCCCTCCAATTACGCTTGTGTATAGTTCTACAATAGCTAGTGTTGGGTATCGTTTGTGAGTATGGACAGTACAGAGTGTCAATAGGCTTTTTGACCAAAGGAGATATCACAGTTGAGTCACCAATATATCCTCAAGTGTGTTTTTTTTAAAAACATGAGCGACGGAATAATATCTTTAATGTTCTGGTTAACCTCTGAGAGCAACTCACTGTTCAAACTATTTTTTCACAGCATGATTTTTCCCCCACTTATAATGGTCCTTGCAGGTGTTACTGATAATGATCAAAACCCAAACTCACTGATCAGGACATTTTATTGATAGAGCAAAATAAGACTGCAGATTACCTGCTCCGGATAGCATGCTCCCACTGTACTTTAAAGCTTTCAGATTTTGTTTCAGTCTCACAATTCAACCTAAAACTGTTGTGTTTTCAGTTTATCCATGGTGGCCACACAGCTAAGATTTCAGACTTCTCCTGGAACCCTAATGAACCATGGGTCATTTGTTCTGTATCTGAAGATAACATTATGCAAGTCTGGCAGATGGTGAGTTTTGATTCTTTTTTAGGTTATATTTTTCTTGGGGTAGCTTCAGCAACCACACGGGCACTGGGTGTTGGATTTGTGTCGGTTATAAATCTGGAATTGTTTCTTGTGTACTGTGTTTATTGTTTCTGTGTGCAATTGGCTGCTGCGTTTCGCCCACAAAATATACAGTCAGTTCACTTTACAATATGTTCTGTGAAGCGCTTTGAGACGTCTCAACCACATGATAAGGCGCTGTATCAAACGCAAGGATTGTTATTATTAAAGAAGCCTATTGATCGTCTGGTGACCGTGGTATCGATTATGTATTGTACCTCTGTAGTTAGAAATAAACTGTTGTGTTCCTCCATTCAGGCTGAAAACATTTACAATGATGAAGATCCCGAGGGAGCCCCTGATCCAGAGGGACAAGGCTCATAGTCTTCTTGGTTTTACTCTTCAAACATACTTTTTCTACACAAACATGAAATTCTGCGAGTGCTGATTTGAGAGATACAGCCGTTGTCTCTAAATGCAGGGGTTTGGATAACATGTTGTATGTCCTCCAGTGAGGACCTAAATTTGTATTACAATTGCCTCCACCCTAAAGGCCCCAGTCCATTCCCCATTCTTTACCATCACAGCCATGTATTGACATGTCTGCATTTCTGTTTGGCTAATAGAAAGTAAGGCAGCTTGTTGTGCTACTGTGTACAGTTCGTATTTAAAGGCTTATCCCTGAATATCTGGACACTGCAGTGCATTGTGATCCTTGAGACACAAGTCTGCCAAAGCAATTGAATATTCTCTATGAGAGGGTCTTACTAAGTTTTTAAAGAGAAGTGCATCAGTCCCAATAAAATGCATATGTTTTTCTACATAAAAAAAATTAAATCTCTTGTGTTCCTCTCGTCTGTCCTCTTTATTAAACGTTGTATTGGTCCATTTGCAATAGAGATCCCACAACAAAATGGGAGTTGAATGTCGCACTAGCTTTGACAGAGTGTTTGTTTTTCATTCTTGCCAAATTATTACACAAAGACTAGAGTATGAGCATCCAAATCTTAAAATGTTGATGTGTTTTTTTTTGGGGGGTGGGGGGTAAATCAAAGAATAAGAAAAACAAGTGCATGTGGTCGTCACACCGATCACCCTGAAAGAGTTGAAAATCATAAAATGGGTATGGGAAAAGAGCATGTGATTGGGGTTAGAGGGTATATTCACCCTAGGATCAGCATTGGCTTGGGTAGCCTCGTGTGCTGTGATTTCTAGCACTCTTAGCTATATCAACAGGAGGGGGACAGAACTGCAAAGTGCTGTGCTACTGGATGTGGGTTCATGCTGAAGTTTTCAATTGCAATGAGTTAATATTCTCACCTCTGGTGATCTGGAACCTGGGGGGCTTTTTATTGTACAGAAGCAAAACAGGAGTGGGGGTTGGTCACCAAAGCTTTATGGCTGGCTTCAGTTATGAAAATCTTTCTATCCTATTAGCTGGGCGAAGTGTGCGAAACATTGCGGGGAAACAAAACTCCAAAGAAAACATCTTGTTTATTACACAAAGATATGTTTCTGTTTTGCTTCTGTATTATTTGTCCTGCTTCCACTACCAGCACCTGGAGTAGCTCCAACTTGAATGTAGAAAAGCAAACTTTTCAATGGTTATGCTGGTTACATACATTAGGGTTACCTGAATTTGTAGCATTGAACATCGTATCTGCACTTGTATTGACAAATGTCATCAAATGGTTATGAAAAGTCTAAATCCGTGTCAATAAAACAAAGCGAATTGTTACAAATGTCAGAAGTTTGTAAAGAGAAAACGTAAAACATTAAATTATAGGTGATTGTCACTACCCATACCTCCTATACCCAGTGTGTTAAATGCTTAGTCTTGTATTTATACCAATGGACATATGTTGAGTGCTGTGGTTTACTAGATACCGACAAGACAGTGAAAGTCACAATTGGCTCCTGTTAATCCTGCAAACCAAACTCCGACAGATAGGATGGTCCTAACAGGACAAGCAGCAGGTATTTGCCACACAGTGTTTTCAATGGCAAGCATGTGGCTTTAGCTGTTTAAACTTCACCAGTTACCCCAAATTGCACCTCAGAGCCTTGGTTCTTGTGAACCCGCGCGTAATCCTCCCCAGAATAGGTAAGCGGGTACATCCTTCCAATAGGAGAGTGCATTCCATTGCAGTCTTGCTGTTATTGTGGAGGTTTAAGACTGGTTTGGTCTCTGCAACACGACTGGAATGTAAGGTAAGCGGTCTTCTTGTCACTTGAAAATTTGTTCCAGACAAAATATTTGGAGTGGCTGATGATGCAAATATTCTGGTCAGCCTATTTTATATATTTTTTCTTGATGAGACCAGCCCATGTGAAATACTTCTGAGCAAAAACTTGCCTCACATATTCTGAATCGGATGGCTTTAACGAGCCAAACTGATGCAAGTTGCATTTTGTAAGTTTTAAGATAACAAGAGCAGCGAAATACTTGAGGATGAAGATCCTGTTGCATTTATACTGCAGTTTTAGTAACAATTTGTGCAGTAAAAGGGCAGAAAAGTAAGAAGGTATTCCCGTTTAAACTAAATAAAAGCTGATTTGTATGTATTCAGTTTCCAGCTTTGCCTCACTTGTAGTTAGTTTTCAGTTGTGAGGGTTTTTGTTGGTTATTCAGACTTGCTGTTGTCCACTGGCTTCTGTAATCATTCTGCTCTCACAGACACCGTTTTCATTTGATTAAACATTTATTTTTTATTAACTGCTCAAAGAAAATTAGTAACAAAAAAANCTTCAGTGCAGCATACAATGTGGATCTCAATAGCCAATGAGTTGATACGAAGGGGGAGCGGGTGGGGTAACAGTTGAACATGACTTAATGTTTGATCTTGTGAATTGAGGAACTGTTTGTAAACCATTTCATTCAGTTAGTTGGATGCTTTAAATCACATCGGTTTCTTACATTTGAGTTGATGAGGTTTCCGTATATTGTTAAACGTTCCCTGCAAATAGAAAAATTGTCAATTGCAGATTTAAAATATGATCTACAACAAATTGATCCATCTCAACTTTCTGTCTGGATATCTGATTGACCAATGCAGCAAAGGACAAATGGATGTATTATAATTTTTGTTTTAAACAACGATTGTTTCACGTGATGCTCCCGGGATGATTGCGTCACAGAACCATTTCAAAAACCCTTTGGCGTGCTGCTGATGACCTTTGAGAACATTTATATATGATATAATAATAATCCTTGCATTTGATATAGCGCTTTTCACGTCTTCTCGACGTCTCAAAGCGCTTCACAGAATAGACTGTAAAGTGAATTGACTGTATATTTGTGGGCGAACGCGGCAGCCAATTGTGCACAGCAGCGTCCCACAAACAGTCGTGGATTGAAAATGACCAATTTATTATTGCTTTTTGTTTTGGAGGGATTATTATCAGGTGTGTGGAGTAAGGAAACCTGCCCAAGGTTCCGCCCGGCCGGGAATTTGACCTGGTGTCGTGTAACTGACTTTGCTTTGTGACATTGCTTTGACTTCTGTAGTCCAACTGGAGCTATTTATAAAGACACTTCACACTTACTTGTAAACACACAGATCCTCTGATAGGCTTGCCTTCAAGTTCTTGATGTTATCATTCTTATTTGTTTGCACTGCGAGCTCCGTTCTTAAAATGATCACTTTTTCCTCCAGTTCCCTCTGGTGTTCCTGTTGAATTCATAGTTATAATTATAAAAAAAATTCTTTCCCCACCTCCCCCCCACCCCCAGCCTGGATTTTTATAGGGCTGTTACAAAATAGTTTCTCCCACAAAGTAATACAATTAATTCGCTTTAATGTATATTCTGTGAAGAGCTTTGAGGCGTCTCAAAGACGTGATCGGGGCTATATCAAATGCAAGGATTACTATTTACTATTACCATTACAAAATGCATAATTTGCTCTGTACTTGCAAAACTTCCAAACACACACACACTTTCAGCGAGCTTCATTATTTAGTATTCAGAAGTGGGAGGCAGCACTCCCCTTAACCCACTATGGCGCCCCTAAATGCAACCCAATGGAGTTCAGAGAACCCACAGTTAACCAAAGACCTATTGTGGCTGAATAACTCAGTGCTTCAGCAGATGCTGCATTTAACCACTAAGCAATGGAGAGCAGTTAATTCCTCACAAGAGCATGGAGGGATTTCTTAAAAAAAAACAGTAACTGCTGTAAAAGAATTTCACCCTTTTACCAATTGATTTAAAAGTAATTGGTTCATTTGCTTTTAATTGGTGTAATATTAAAAACGTTAAATGGGATGAGGCAAAAGAGTTCTAGAGTCTGTGTATCGGCCTGGTTTGTGTGTGTAAAAAAAAATTGAGGAAACTCTTAGTTTGCTGGTGAACTTTGTATTGGTTAATTATATTATTTTAAATACTTGCCTGATATTGCACGGCATCTTCAGCTCTCTTAATCTGCAGGAGTTGCAGCTGCTTCACAAGGCATTTCCTCTGCGTGTTCAGTTTTGCTACTTGTTCCTGCAATGGCTGTAGTTCTTTTATTAGGTCTTTGATCTCCTGTTTAGTGCGTTGCAGTGATTCGACACTGGTCTTGTTCCATTTCATGAGCCTTTCCAGTTTAGGTTGATAGTACTTGTCCAACTCTTGTCTCTGTTCCACCAAAACTCTTTGAAATTTTAGATCAGTTTCACGATTCTTAGACAATGATAGGATCTCTTTTGTGTCTCTATTATTTTCAAACCGTTGGATCATTTGGTTGATCTCTCCGCGGCTGTGAGTTTTCAGCCCTGCGAGTTCAACAGAAAGAGTCTGGACTTTGGATTCTAGTTCTTCCCTCACTAGAGCGACCTGAGGAAGCACTTGTTTGCTGGTGTCCAGTTTGAATTTGCACGCCATGTGGGCTTTAGTGACTTCGAACAGCTTTTTCTTGATGAGCTTCATCTCTTCTTTGAGATTGTCGCATTCAATTTGAGTCTTTGATTTATTTTGGTAAAGCGCCAACAATTCTGCCTTCTTAACACAAACCTCTTGGTGCATGGGTTCCTTCAGGCGTGTTAGTTGTTCGATGAGGTTCTCCCTCTCTGCTAGGAGCTGTTCCACTGCCTGTATACATACCTGGAAGAGCTGTCCCACTGCTTGCAATGAATCCACAGCCCGAATTACAGGTGAGTCTTCTTCAAACTCACTCATCATGACGTCCTGTAATCCCACAAACAACGATGAAACAACTATCTTACAATGACGTAGAGGGCAAGTAGCTTTTATTCAAATGGATGTCCTCGTAATCAGTTGTGTCGTCTGATAATGGAATCGGATCATGGAAACATTCCAGTTTGCAGAATGTGCATTATATGTAACCCTCTCTCCCCCCNACGCCAAACCTCGCATTGCAATTGCAATCCATATCGTGTGTCACTGAAAGAGTTTAGATGCGTTTAATATACATTATATCCCTGTATATGCATTTTCAGTGGAACTAATTTGTTCCTGATGGAATTACTACTTCAAGTTCCCACCATCTCTACTTGCAGCTGCTATTGCAGTTTAGTCAACAGATTTCGTACCACACTATCATCTTCCATGTGTGGTATGAACCATCTGGGCACATATTTGATGAGTACCACTGTGCAGATGGTACACCACTTAAATAGGCTTGCGAAATAAAAATGATAATGCGCAGAGACAAGAGATGCACATCTCCGCAACCAAACACCAACTGAACAAAATAATTTTGATAACGTTACTGCTCGAGTGGATTGTGTATTCAACTGAGCTATCTGATCGTATTTTGAAGACGTGATATAGCGCCTTAATCACGTCTTTGAGACGTCTCAAAAGCACTTCAGAGAATATACTGTAAAGTGAATTGACTGTATATTTGTGGGTGAAACACGGCAGCCAATTTGTGTGTGTGTGTATATATATATATATTTTAAATTGAAGGGATTATTACCCCCAGAAAAGTGATCTGCCAATTGACTAACAACCGAGTTCCGAATTACTGCTAGGTGAACAGAGGCGTGTGTGTGGAAACTTGCCCAACATTTCGGCGTGCCCGGGAATCGAACCCAGGTTCTCTTGCTTGAGATACAAATGCTCTAATCACTAAGCTACAGGACTCCATGACAACTGTGTAAATATGATTTTTGTTTACGGTTACTCTACCACACAAGTGTGATTAAAAATAGAAATTTTATTTTGAAGATCTAAGCTGAGCAACTTCTTGAGAAGCCAAATCCTCCCGGATAAAATCTATCACTCGTGGCGTGACTGCTTGTGGGACGTCGCTGTGCGCAAATTGGCTGCCTATTTTTGCCAACAAAGATACAGTCACTGCGCTATATAGTAAACCCTGTGAAGCACTTTGAGAAGTAGACCTGATAATACGCTGTATCGAGTTATAATGATTAGATCTTGTTTAAAGTAAAAAGTGTTAGTAGCAATTTGATGTGGTAAAATAAGAGTATTTGCACATGTTAAAAAGGGTGATTCTTACTGCAGAGTATTGATACTAATACGCTAAACACATTTAGGAACAATTTTCTGTCGTCTGGTTTTCTCAATGGATTACAGCTCAACCAAAACTGACTGAAGGTTTATCTGGGATCAAAGTGCTACAATATTTGAACGTGCTTTTTTCTGGTCACGTGTGTATCTGAAACACGCAAAAAAAAATCATCCGTATTTATTAAGCGTAACAATAATAGGAAGGAAAATGAGCCAGGATCTTACCGTGTCTTGTAGGAGCTGAGACGGTGGGCTTTCATGTAAGATTTTAAAAAGAAGTAACAACTGTTAAGAATAGCCAGCGAGGAATGAAACTGACCTCACCCACAGATTAGTTTACATTAGCAGCTGTAGTGCTGTGATTGGATCATCATTCAAAATAATTTGTGAACTATAGATTCAGGGAGATATACTGACTATAAAGTAAATGAGTGAATTATATCATTAGTGAACCGTGTGTTTGAACCACACAGGAAAATGGCTGAATTCCCCATGTTAGAAATATATCTATGTTGTATTGTACAGGTTGTATCTCTGTTGTATAGGCCAGAAAGAATCATTTTAGAATTTGCTTTATTTCACAGAATTGCAAAGTTTTTTTAAGTTATATAGTGCTGGAAACAAATAGTGCTGACACATTCTTAATTAGTCTCCTAAAGAACTTTGTAACTTGATGCATTTTCCCCCCAATGCGCTAGCCCACATCCTGAAAATATTTGGAATTATTCCGGAACTAATTGATAGAGAAAACGTGGTTTAAAGCTGTTTTTTTCTCTGATGGATTTGGCTTTGTATTCGACACTCCTCCCCCGAGTGGTGGTGTGTGGGTGTTGGTGTCAGTTTGCACAGACCCAATTGAGAAGCAAAGTCATCTCCAAGGAATGACCCAATCTCAGCCCAAGAGAGAGGGAGCTCGGCTCCCGCTGACCCAAAGGGGTTTGAACCCGAATGTATATGCGAAGGAAGAGATTGTTCTGAACCCTCTAATTGGGCGAAATTAACAGAAATCTTTCAGAACAATAAATAACGTTTGCGTAAGTGTCTTTCACGTCAGGAGGACATGATGTTTCGGGACCAGTGTCTGGCTGGTGGGCGAGAGAGCTGTCGTGACCAGTGTGGAAGGGGTGACCAGGGCCTCAACCACACCTTGACCGCTGAGTTGTGGCAACTGGACAGTCTAGCGGGACATGCCGTCAGCTTATTGGAAGAAACACAGACTCGGGCTGCCTGTATTGTCCGGCGGATTCTCATCCTGAAAAACAAAGCGGAAAAGTTACATCTCTACAGCCTCAGACTGCACAACAGGGAGTTTGTAAACTGTGAGTATGGCTGCATTCAGCACAGCCTCTGCTTTACAAAATATTCACCCCCCAAATATAATAATAATAATGATAATCCTTGCACTTGATATGGCGCTTTATCGTGTCGTCGAGCCGTCCCAAAACGCTTCACAGAATATGCTGTAAATATGCAGTCAATTCACTTTACAATATAATCTGAAGCGCTTTGAGACGTCTCGAAGACGTCATATATATATCAAATGCAAAGATTATTATTGTTATTGAACACAGAGACATAACACGATTTTCACATGTTGAGGGTTTGGTGCAAGAAGAACAATCTACGGGTTACCGCAGATTTACTGAAGCACAATTTGGCTAACGAGAATATCTCGCCTCACAGCGTCACGAGACTGGGAGCTTCTTTAAGCCATGTACACATTGTTTTAAGCCTGCTGTACGGGTCACTGGGATTGACATTGTGGCCACTGTATCCTGCAGGGAAAGAATGTGCCCGTCTTTTTTTTGTAGGAATTTATTTCAACCTTTGTGCGAGGAGCGCAAGTTTGCAAAGCAAAAGTTCAGAGCGGTTTTCAATCTGTGACAGAGAGAGCGAGAGAGAGCGCGCGCGAGGCGTATAGATGGCTAGGGTCACCCCTAACATTCCAGCTGTAGGTTGGAATCTAACTGTGAGTCGGAGAGATTGTCTTTCTTTTTAGTTCGTTGAGCTGTCAGCCTGGCTCGGTTGGTACAGAGCTCTCGTCTGACTCAGAGAGAAATGGGTCCAAGCCTCGCGACTCTGAACTCACGATCCAGACTGACGCTCCAACCCAATGCCGGGGGAAGATCTGCATTGTTGGAAGCGCTACCCTTTAGACGAGACGTTAAACTGTTTGTGTCTGTGCTGAGAGACATCTGGGGCTAACAATTCCTTTTTTTAAAAAAATAATAATAATAAAATGATGATTTGGTCACTCGATCCATGACTGGGAGCCTGGGTTCAATTCACTTTTTACGGTATGTTCTGCGAAGTGCTTCGATGTGTCTCGAAGACGTGATGAGGCTCTGTATCAAATGCAAGGATGATTATTATTGTTATCTGTTACTCGTACGGAGGCGCTGGTTGGAATAACGTTTCACCTTATTTACGACGACGGCTCGGGTGGGAACGGTTTTCTGGTTCAGTTTCCATTCAGTTGGAAGATTCTTGTCTGAGACTTCCAAGGCTGAAACGACATGTGACAGTTGAAATTAAAGAAGGGTCAAACCCTGGACTGAAAAATTCCAGAAATGTTTGTGACGTGTTTCTCTGGCTGTGGCTTTGCATTCAATAATGCAGACACAAGGCTACGTGTAATATAAATAATTCCCATACACAGCTCCATCTGAGAGATCGGATTCCAACACTGATCGCTGGGTTTACTTTGAAAGCTGTCAGTATAGTTCTGGTTATCTTTGAATTTTATGAAATGCCTTTACATTATGGATATGATACAATAATACAACGATCGTTGCCTTTGATATAGTGCCTTATCGAGACGTCTCAAAGCGCTTCTCAGGATATATTGTAAAGTGTAGTGATTGTATATCTTGTGGGTGAAATACAGCAGCCAATTGTGCTACAGCAGTGGTCCCACAAACAGTGGTGGATTGTGTGACCAAATTATTATTATTTTAAAAAATTATTTATGTTTTAAAGGGATTGTTACGCCCTCCCGGAAAAGCGATCCACCAACCGACCAACAACCGGCTAAAGGCTAGGGGAATTTTTCAAGCCTCGGATGGTTGGTACTAGATATTGCCTGATATCTCATCACACACTTTCTGCCCAGACCCTGCAGGTTCTGCCTCGTGACCTGCCTGTGAATCTTATTTCCATCATTCAGTTACGGTACAACTACACCATTCTCCCGTTCCCGTTTATTTTTAGATGAGGATTTGCGTGGTGCGGGGAGCTGTTACGTTCTGTTACTGTCGGGTGAATGTCTTAAAAAAACGCATTCATTCATTCCCTGATCAGAAAGCCTCCGTCCAGTCAATTTAGATGCCAACAAATAATAATAGTAATGTTAATCCTTGTATTTGATACAGCACCTTATCACGGTGGTGAGACATCTCAAAGCCCTTCATAGGATATATTGTAGAGTGCAGTGCTCCTCCGGGTCTGGCCTCCTCCTCCTCGTCCCCCAAGTCCTCCTCGCTCCACCCTCGGCGGCCGTGCATTCAGCCACTACGCCCCGAGGCTCTGGAACTGCCTTCCTCACTCCCTTCGTCTCGTCCCCTCTCTTCCCATTTTCAGGTCTCTGCTGAAGACCTTTCTTTTCGACCGTGTCTTTGGTCACCTTCCAGCCCCCCGCTCGGCCTCGGGATCTGTTACCGTGAAGCGCTCTGAGCCGCCGCCCGGCGTGGAGGGCGCTATACAAACCCAAGTTGTTGTTGTTGTGCTGTATTTATTTGGTGGGCAAATTGCGCAATCAAAACAGCTGATTTTGTTGTTGTTGTTGTTGCTGCTGCTTTTTCAAGCTCTGACCTCGGTGCCCGACAGCGTCAATGAAAACCTCTACATCAAATGCAAGGATTATTATTATTATTATTATTGTTAATTTAGTGTCTCTCCCAAACAGGTGCCGGTGGGAGTCAGCCTCTTACTTGTCATTGCCCCTCACGTGCCACTAGATGGCAGCAAAAGAGCTCGACATCTCCACACCCAACTGGTTGTCTACCCGGCGATGCCCATTGCTGAGAGGTTAATCACGCTCCCACCACCAGCCCGAACCACTCCAAGGAAGTCACGGCTGTGTTTCTTTTCAAGGGAGATTGAGGCCCTTGGTCTGCCAGAACCCCCGAAACACGCGGGCGTCTCTCTCTCTCTCTCCCTCTCTCTCTCGCGATGTCGCTCTCCGCAAATTGGCTGCCACCGCGTTCAAACAAAAAGGTCACGCGCCACGCGTTCACTTTGCGGAGTTGAGTTGGGGCTTTAGTGGATTGCCTGTCCTGTGGGTTTGGTTGGAATTGCAGCCTTTCACTAACCTTGTCCCGTCCTTTTCCCCACCACCACCCCACCCCCCAGCTTAGCGTCACGTTCCACTACTGCCACGAGCTCCGTGACACTATCCTGCGTGAGGGACGCTGTGTAAGTGCAAGCTGTTGTTGTGGTTGGCAGATTTAAGGGATGGCACAGGATATGACCTTCGGCTACAGATGATTGGTCTAAACGGAGCTGCCATAAAACTCTTGTTTAAATGGCTTTCAGAGAGTTCGGATCTAATCTCTTGCCCTTATTTCTCAGGAGAGTGTGTTGATGGTATCAGTTTGCCAGTACAAGATGAGACCAAAGTGTTTGGCTTCACACAGTAATACCAGGCCTGTCAGCATCTGCTAATGATCTTGTGTCTTGTGATCCCTGAGTCATGTCAGTACTGCTGAAGCTTGACAGATCAGTCTGAAGGCCAAGCGGTGATAGGGGCAAACTGTTCATGGAAAGATACAGAGAGAACTGGAAAAAGAGGCACAAAAAGTTAGATGTCTCAAAGAACTTCACAGAATATGCTGTCAAGTGAATTGACTATGTTTTGTGGGTGAAACGCGGCAGCCAATTGCGCACAACAGTGTCCCACAAACAGCGCTTTGAGACGTCTCAATGACATGATAAGGCGCTATATCAAATGCAAGGATTATTAATATTATAATCACCTCACCATTTGTACCTGGCTTGTTAACACGATATTGATTGTGAAAGAAAAGAAAGATTATTGAAGGTATAGGGGAACGAGCAAACAGGTCAAAGGCTGGAGTCTATATTAGCAAAGTATCCCTCCTACACTTAACAACCTTACAAGCGACCAAATTATTACACCTCGTCAGCTGTACCAAGAATTATAGATTCTTATCTGCAGATACCAGTAATGGGAGGAAAGAAAAGTGAGGCAGAGCTCAGTGAGGAGAGAGGACCTCGGTTGTAGCTGCAGTTCTGTGGGCTATCAATGTATCGTTGCTGTTTTGTGCATAATATTATTAATAATAATAATTCAAGCATTCGGTACAGCACCTTTTACATGGAGAGGACATCTCAAAGCACTTACACAATTCAGTGACTGTATTTTGTAGGCGTGTATTTTAGGTGTAATTAAAGTGTGTATTTAAAGTGTCGTGACTGTATTTTGTAGGCGAGTGCCACAGCAATTTGCACCCAGCCATGAAGTGAATGACCAATTTTATTTGGAGGATTGTTGGCCAGGACATCAGGAGAAACTCTCTTTTCTCTTCAAATAGCAGCCTGTGGATCTTTTAAGATCTACTTAAACAGGCACGGACCAGACCTCGGTTTAACG